GGTGTCGGCTGCCTCCATGACCTTGGTGTCACCACTACGTTCCCTCGTCACGAGCAATACACTGTCTGTACCGAGGCCGCCACTGGTGCCCCCCTTACCACGTTCCCACGGGACCCGTTGTTCGGCCTTTTCACACTAGACACTGTGCCTTCCCCGGGTAGGACGCCCCCTACGGTGGTTGCGTCTACTCAGGTTGCTGCTGCCTGCTCCTGTCGGTCACTCACTCACCCGACCCTCCTTTGGCACCACCGCCTAGGTCACCCTGCGCTCCCCCGTCTGCGTCACATGTCACAGTACGGTCTCGTCCTAGGACTTCCCAGGTCATTCCACGAGTTTCCCTCTTCCCCTGCCCCACCTTGCACACCCTGTGTCGAGGGCCGGCTCCGCCGTGCTCCTCACTCCTCCTCGTTTCCCCCTACTGCCGCACCGCTACAGACTCTGCACATGGACGTCTGGGGCCCCGCCCCCGTCCATGGGCCGAGTCGAGAGCTCTACTTCCTAGTGCTTGTCGACGACTACACGCGCTACACCACTGTGTTCCCCCTGGAGCGGAAGGCTGACGTGCCTGACGTTCTCATCCCGTGGCATGTCTCTGCACGTGTCCACCACGGTCTCCCTGTCTTGCGTCTCCACTCCGACCGTGGTGGAGAGTTTGCCTCTGGTGTCCTTGGTCGTTTCTGACGTGCGGAGGGCATCACCCAGACGTTCACCTTGCCGGACTCCCCGCAGCAGAATGGGGTCGCAGAGCGACGCATCGGTTTGGTCATGGAGGTGGCTCGCACCTCCATGATCCATGCCGGTGCCCCCCATTTTCTGTGGCCGTTCGCTATTCGCTACGCCGCTCACCAGCTTAACCTCTGGCCGCACCCCCAACAACCAAAGGTTTCGCCGACCCTTCTTTGGTCTGGGTCCCCTAGTGACGTGTCTACGTTTCACGTCTGGGGCTGCCTTGCTCACGTTTGTGCCTCTGGCACGGACAAGCTCACTGCCCGCACCCTTCCCTGTGTCTGCCTCGGTTTCCCCCTTGACGCGTCTGACTGGCACTTCTACCTTCCCTCCTGGGACCCATTGGCTCCTGCGGCGCCCCGTCTACGGCCTTCGACAGGCTCCTCGTGAGTGGCACGACACGCTGCGTGCTACCCTTGCTAACCTGCAGTTCGTTCCGTCCTTTGCAGACCCCTCGCTCTTTGTTCGTGCAGGCCAGACTCCGTTCTACATCCTTGTTTACGTAGACAACCTGGTCTTCAATACTGCAGAAAGGGACGCACTGGCCTCCGTGAAGGCAGAGCTGCTGAAGAGACACACTTTCACTGACTTTGGAGAACTGCGCCATTACCTTGGCTTGCAGATCTCCACGGACACGGCAGCGCGCACCATCACCTTCACTCAGTCACACTTGGTGCGCCAGGTGCTTCAGAGGTTCGGTCTTCAGTTCTCCTCTGCACAACCCACCCCTCTGTCTGTAGACCACAGGCTCTCTGCTCCAGTTCCTGAGGAGTTGGTAGAGCCCAGTGGCCCTTACGCCAAGCTGGAGGGTTGCCTCATGTACCTGATGACTTGCACTCGCCCAGATCTCGCATACCCTCTCAGCATCCTGGCTCGCTTTGTGGCCACTGGCAGACACCGACCTCAGCACTGGTCTGCCGCTAAGAGGGTTTTGCATTATCTTGCAAGTACATCGGGCTTGGGGTTAGTGCTTGGAGGGCGTAGGCCAGTGGTCCTTACTGGGCACACAGACGCTTCGTGGGCAGACGACGCTGAGAATCTTAGGTCCTCACAGGGCTACTGCTTTAGCCTTGGTTCATGTGCTGTTTCGTGGAGAGCTACTCGCTCCTCGTCTGTTGCCCAGTCTAGCTGTGAGGCCGAGATCTACGCCGGTGCCATGGCGGCACAGGAGCTCTGATGGCTTACCTTCTTGCTCACTGACTTAGGTGAGCGGCCTAGCTCTGCCCCAGTCCTGTACGCTGACAACAGGGCCATGATCCTCCTGTGTCAGGAGCCTCGGCTCGAGGGCAGAGCGAAGCACATCCAGTTGCGGTACTTCCTCCTGCGTGAGCTACAGCAGCGCGGCCAGGCTCGCGTAGTACACTTGGCCTCGGGTGCCAACACATCTGATATCTTTACAAAGGCGCTTGCGCCTAAAGATCATTAGCGGCACTGTTTACAGCTAGGTCTCGTTCCTGTAGCCTCTCACTTGCTAGGGCCTTCATTGTGTACAAAACTTTTCTATATATATTACCCTGACTGGCCTTGTGGCCTCTCCCAGTGGCTGGACTAGTAGTGCCACCCTGGTCTTGCTCTTGCCTTGCCTATATTCCTTTGACTGGTCTTTAGACCCTTGCCTCAATGGCTGGACTAGTAGTGCCGCCCTGAGCTGCTTCTTCTCTTGTTAGGCACTGCCCCTATATAGTCTAGGGGGTGTGTCAAATGTAGCTTATGTAGTTATTGTAGACTATACTGGATTGTGCCTTTAGAGGGTACAACCCCTTGTCTATATACCCCTGTATCCTTCTATTCTACTCAACTACTCATTCTGATACTGGCGCTCGTCATGAGGACAATCGTTTCAGTCAGGCAAACAGTTGCATTACTTCGTTATCATTTAGGGCGCATAGCGCGATAGTGACGAACAGGTACATTAGCGAACAGGTACTTTCCTAGAACTATAAATCCTTGTTATTGTAAACGCCCGGATAGAAGACCCCTATGTCTTATCATATACCGACCTAAGAAGTGGTGAAATTTCTTATAAATGGAAGAAAAAAAAAACCAGGAGGGGTGTGTATCTTATAAATGGAAAAAAAACCTGTAAATGGAGCACCAACTTTAAGGGCTGGAAAAAAATCCAATTACGGTTTTTGGGATCGTGCGTCCATAATTCGACAACGAAACATTTAACAAAGGGGGGATTTCTCACGCACGCCGCACTCGTTACAGCATGCGAGCGTGACGCCAGGGGGGATGCATCTACTGTAGTGTCACACTAGCTGGCAGTGGCCGTCACGTGCTGGATGCCGAATGATGCTCTTGACAGCAGCATCTCAGCTTCTGGGTGCTGCTCCTCATCGAGGTGCGATTCCCCTTCGATGAAAAACGTGCCCCGGGCCTGAGGTCTCGGAGGGGGGTGTACCTCTCATTTTTTCATTCTGTTCTCGTTCCATTTCGAAACTCTGCTCCCCTGCCTTAGCTCAGCGTCCTCCCCTGCCTTAGCGACGCTTCCTCCCATGCCTCAGATTTTTGGCCTGCCTCAGCTCGGCTAGTGGCATCGCGTGCCGCCATGCGCAGCAAGCATCCACCTCAGGACAAGGCGTCAGGGTTTAGGCAGCGCGGAACTGATCCCTCACCACCCCGCGTTTATGTGAGCATTTTTGGGGGCCACAACTCCCCTGGCCACACGCTGAATATCCCAGACGACGCTGCCAAGAGAACCTCGGCCTCGCCTGCCAAGAAACCCTCGTCTCCGCCGCCTGACTATGGGATGGATGGAATGGGCAAGGGGGAGGACGATAACACTGAGGACGGCGGCTCTGCCAACATCTCTGACGACGACTGGTGGGCGAAACCCATCGGTTCCGCGGAGGAGGTTGAGGAATGGTATGCTGGCAAGGAGGATGATGATGATAACCAAGCGGGCGAGATGGCAGGCGGTGAAGAGCATGACGATGATTACGCAGAGGAATACGGTCATGATGACGACAATGAGGAGTGTGGCATAGGCGAGGAGGGTGCAGCAGAGGAGGTGGAGGACGGGGATGACGGCGAGGCGGCTTGCGACAACATGGGTGATAGTGACGACGTGAGCCACGGCGACGGCATGAGTGACGGAAACGTTCCAATGTGAAGTGTCGTGTGAAGCGCCGTATGAAGTGGCTGGTTGACTCCAAGGTGAAGAAGCAGCTTTGTGGCGGGGCAGGAGAGGGGGAAGGAGAAGGAGGAAGGGGAGGCGGAAGGGGAGGAGGATGAGGCGACGGAGGAGGAGGAGGAGAACCCCGCGGAGCCAGACCCGTACCCTGAGACAGAGAAGTGGCGCGGTGTTGCGGCAGAGGCAGACAAGCTGCATGAGCCTGAGAGTACTGCGCAGCATGCTTGGGGGGTGCCTGACTTCCGGAAGCCCGCCCCTACAGAGGTCGTTGATGAGGAAGACTGTGATTTCTTGACGATGGACACTTTTGAGGATTTCTAGACCCTTTAGTGTGTGTGTAATCGAGGTCTGATGTTAGCCTTTTGAACAATACAGTGTGTTAACACATGCGACACTGAAACAGCCTTGAAAGCAACGTAGGGTATCTTATCATACCTCCCTCGAACCAGTATCTTATAAACGGAAATGCCTAATACAAGATAGTCGCCTAATACAAGACACTCTATCTTCTATTCCATGGGGGTCTTCTATCCGGGCGTTTACGGTATGCCTTTCCATTATTAACTTTGATTATCCACAAGTTCATGTGCTCAGGTTATTCGACCTTGACTATCATTCTTTTACAAGACTTCTACTGTCTTACTAGTCTACCATTCCAGTAAAGATCCTAGGCTAACACTTGAGGTTTTCCAAGTGTTCGTGTTCGCAGATTCTATACTTAGTCTCCTGCAACACCTGTCAAATTATTACAGTGTGAGGTCAAGCTGCTGCAGACGTGGGCATGAAACTGTGTGGTCGGCTGCTCGATAACAAAGGGTTTGCCAAGGCGCAAGACATTCGGGGGATGTATGGGTTGAAGAAAGATGCGGACAGGTGAGGAGAAATCGTCTATCTTCTACCGAAATAATGCATTGCTTGCTTGTTGTCGATAATGATAACTGTGGTGACCAACTCCTCTTCATTCGACTCTTGAGCCTAAACCAATATCCTTACGGTGGTTGGTTAGTATACGTTTGTATGAATGCGTCTTATGCGTTTGTCAGCATTTTTGTTACGATCCTCTTACGGCCGTGTTGGCGGCCACATCATTCGCATAAGACCATCATCATCAATTCCTTCACTACTGCCACGTGGCTCGATGTGCTACCAGCAATTAGACACCAAGCTCCTGGACACCCCTAAAAGCCAGTGCCGCTAACGCTGCTCCTGGACGAAGCTAATACGTCGCCGTCTCGCCACGCGCGCTCGGCTCGTCTTACCCCATCCTTAGGCATTTCGTTACCAGAGCGGGGCAGTGGCGGATCGCCGTTGCGCATGCGGCAACGGCAGAGACGGGGGGCGGCGGCGGCGGATTGCGGGCCTGCTAGCGCTGTTCGCGACGACGGGTGCGATCGGGCGTCTCTAATCGAATGTCGGCGCGACTAGTTTCCGCGCCATGCCGCTCCACCACACACACGAACGGTCGCCTCGCCAGTAGTGCGTCAACGTCTTATGAGGTGCTGACACGTGGCGGATTAGCGCGCGTATCAGCACGTGGCGTGCTGGAACGCGGTCATGACAAGTCGTGTTGGTCGGGCGGAAGAGTCAATCATATTGACACCACCACACCCCTGCACTCCGCGTCGCATCGCCACTCCTGCTCTTTCCATCCCCTACCACCTCCCTCTCACATCGAACAACATGTGACGAGATCGCTCGGTTCGCATATTCACGAAAGTGGATGTTGCGAAAGCTTGACGACGGGTAACCAGGCCGTTAGGGTTCGGGTTTCCACCCACTCTCCGCAGAGCCCTCCTCGCGTCGTGCTCCATGGCCGCCACCGCCACAGTGCCGCCGCCATCGCCGCCGCGTGTCTCAGCGCCGCAGGGTCCAGTAGAAGAACGACACGTGGCGCTTCGAGAGGCGGTGGGGCCAGCAGCGGTCAACGGGGCAGCGATCGGTGGCGAGTGCGCGTGGCAGCGGGCAGCGCGGGCGGCAGCAGCGGCGACGATGGCGCCGGCAGAAGCGGCGCCGCAGACGGGGCCTCACACCCGCTGGCCGCCCCTGCGCCGCCACCCGTTGTCCCCTCACCCGCAGCGGCGGCGGCGGCGGCAGCGGCGGGGAGAGGGCAGCACGTCGCGGGCGCGGACAGGGAGGACGGCAGTGCAACTCCGGGGAGAGGGGCCGCCACTGCCGCCGCCGTGGGCCATGCGGATACCGCCTCTGAAGCAGCCCCGCAACGGGCGGGTGCGGAGGGCGCGGGGGAGGAGCGCGCGGAGGGTTGGCCCGCGGAGGAAGATCCGGACATGGGCGCAGAGGCGGACGAGGGCAGCAGCGGGCGGTTCCGGGAGACGCTGCAGCTGGTGGAGACGGCGATGCTGGCGGCGACGTCGGGGCTGGCGTTCTTCCTGGCCAACACCCTGCGCGTGGAGGGCTACCTCGGGTTCTTCTTCCCGCTCCCCGCCGTCGTCGCCTCCATGCGCTGGGGCGCCATGGCGGGGCTCCACACCGCGGTAAGGGGAGAGGGGCCGGGGAGTAAGGAGGGGAAGAGTTGGTGGGGGGTAAGGGAGGGAACGAGGAGAGAGAAGGGGTTGGCGGAGGGGAAGACGGGAGCGTAAGGGAAAGGGGAGGGGGAGAGGTGGGGGATGGACGGGTTGGAGAGAAGGGAGAAAGAGAGAGGGGGGAAAGTGAGAGTTGAGAAAGGAAGGGAAAGGTGAGGAATGGGGAAGTGGAGGCACGGTAATGGAGAGGGAATGGGGAAATGGAGGCACGGTAATGGAGAGGGAATGGGGAAGTGAAGGCACGGTAATGGAGAGGGAATGGGGAAGTGGAGGCACGGTAATGGAGAGGGAATGGGGAAGTGGAGGCACGGTAATGGAGAGGGAATGGGGAAGTGGAGGCACGGTAATGGAGAGGGAATGGGGAAGTGGAGAAGGAAGAAGGGAGGGGCATGGGTAAGAGGCGGAATGGGAGGGGGTGCAGAGGAAGGGGTGAGGCCTTTGTGAAGGCGTATTTCACATCCCACGCCCAAGTCTTGCCCCATGCTCTACCCCATGCAGCACGCTAGCAAGCCCACATGGCCACTTGCTCTCACCTCTCCCCTCCCTCCCTCCCCCGTCCGACTGTCACTCACTGGCTCCCTTCCTTCCTCGATGCCCTCTCATCCTTATTCCCTCACGTGGCCCTTCCTTCCCTCGCGCTCTCCCTCTTCCCGCCTCCTTCCATTCTCTTCCTTCCCTTCCTGCCTCCTTTCCTCCATCTCTCCTTTCCTCCTGTTCATCTCTCTCTCTCTCCAGAGTCCCCTCGCAGATGTCGGCTACTTTCTCCCTCTCCCACACTCACCCTATCCTTCTCCCCCTCCCTGTCGCCCTTTCTGCCGCCCTGCTCCGTTTCCATTCCCTTCCTCCCTGCCTCCTTGCGCCCCTCCCTGCACCTCCCTGTCTCTCAGATGTCGGCTGCCTTTCTGCTGCTCGTCCTCGCGGGGCCCATCAAGGCAATCAGCTTTCTCGTGAGTCTCGCGCCTGGTACATCCCGTTGCTGTCACCCCATCATCCTGCTGCCGCCCACCCACCCATATTGCCCATCTCTCCCTTTTTCTCTCTCTCGATACTGCTGTCTAACCCTTTTCGTTTCTTAACCTCCACCCCCCACTTTCTCTCGTCTTTCCTCCCTCCCTCCCTCCTTGCCTTCCCTCCCCGTCCCTCTCTCCCCTCTCTTTCTCCCGTCATTCCCTTCCCCCCTCTCTCCTCCCTCCCCCCTGCCTCTCTCTCCTCCCGACCTTGTCCTTGCAGCTGCTGCACGGCTTCCTTGGCTCCACTCTCGGTCTCTGCTGGGGGTGAGTCAGCATCAACTCTCCCCGTGCACCTGCGTGCATCTGCTGCGCTCTTATGCATGAGCCTGCGTGCTGTGGTCCAGGGGTGTGTGCTTGTGATCGTGGGCCAGTCCGTGTACACCCAAGGCGACTGAACCCCTCGCATGGTCGTCGGGCCCTATTGTACTGAGGTGTGAAGCCACAGCGTGTGTCACTGCCTCTGCTTGCCACTCGTCCTCGTGCCTCCGGGTCTTCCTCTCTTCGTTCACCTCCCCATGCTTGCCTCCCGCGTCTTCCTCCTTCGCAGTCTCGGCCTCTCGTGGCCCATCTCCATCCTCGCCTGCACATTCGTAAGCCTGCCCCTCACCCCGCCGCCCTTCTCCCCCCTCTCTGCCTTTACCTCCCCCCTTCAATCCATATCTCCCGAACTTCCTCCCTTCCCTTTCCCCCCCGCTTCCTCCCTCCATCACGCTCTCCCTCACTTTCTCACCCCCTGCGGCTCTTTTGATTCACACGCTTCCGATTCACACGCTGCCGTGCTTGGCTGTTGTTTACAAGGGAACATGGACAAGAGCACGGAACTTGCGGACCAATCATTGGCGCTTGGCAAAAGCCTGCTGCTAGTGTGTGCTCCTGTAACCATTTTCTTTCTTTCGTCTGCTGCTATTATGCCTTGTTTTGTGATTCCTCTTCCACCACCGTATCAAACCGTCCTTCGCCTCCTCTGTCTCCCATGTCTCAGGTGCGTGCAGCGGGTGCGGTGTCCTTCGTGCTGCTCTCCTCGTGGCTCATCCGGGAAAACATACTCAAACTGGTCCGTGCAGCCACCAATGCAGCCTCTCAACTATGATCTTCCTTTTCCCGTGCTGTCTCCCTTTCCATCCACCCATCCACCCATCCACCCATTCACCCATCCACCCATCCACCCATCCACCCATCCACCCATTCACCCATTCACCCATCCACCCATCCACCCATCCACCCATCCACCCATCCACCCATCCACCCATCCACCCATCCACTCATTCATCCATCCACCCATCCACCCATCCTACCGTCATCCTCGCTAGATCTTTCCTCTCTGCTCTCCTTTTTGCCTATCCCCCCTTCCCCTCTCCTCCCCTCCGCAACCCACCTTGTCCTCTGCACCTCCTCCAAACCTCTTCCCCCCCCCGTTCCTCTCACCCCCCTTCCTCTCCCCTTCCGACCGCCGGCCCTCCTGTGCGTGGGCCCTGCAGATCCTGATGAACGTGCAGGCGTCGCTGTCGCATGTGTTTGCAGGCATCAGCGCCAGCCTCGTGCCATCCTTCTCGCTCATCACCGCCATCTTCACCTCGCTCGTGCGCGCCACTCCACTCCACTCCCCAACCACGGCCCCCCTCTCCCCCCTTCATCCCGCCATTAAGTGGATCATGGCACACACTGTGACGTTCCACTACTTTGCCTCCTGTTGCCGTGCATGCCCCTCTTGTCCGTGTGGTTCCTCGTCGTGTCGTTCCTCGGTGACATATCCATGTCCGTGCCTGCTCTTGTGTTGCCCTCTCCTGCCCGTCCTTTCTGCACCTTACCGTCCCCCCCTGGCTTCACTTCCTCAAGTCTAGCTGTCAGATTTCCTTTTTGTCACTATCCTCACCAATTATTGCTCACCCGACTGCCCCCTTGGTTCTTCCACACTGCCCTCCCCCCTGTTCTCCCCCATGCCCGCTGTTCGTCCGGGCATACGGCCATACCAGTTGCTGTTCAACTCTGCAACCTTTGCCCTTCTCCTGCACATTCTCTACACGCTTTTCCTGCGACGGCTGGGGATTGCAACACCAACACAGCTACCCAACTGGATGGAGCGGTCGTTGTAACACATCATCTCAACCGCCTGTAGCGTTTCAACCAAAACAGTGTCAACAAATCAAGGAGCACTAACCGCTTGAAGATGATTGATATTTCAGTCACATAGGATTTAGCAGCCTGGGGTCCTAGGATTGAGTTGTCATAAAAAAATATCAATGCAAGTTTGGTTTTTTGGAGTAGTACCTTGTTCCTTATGTTATGACATTCAGGGTTTTTTTTCAAAAGCACTCAATAGTGAATGTCGATGGCACCGTCATCACACCACACCGAGCGAGATGTCTTGCTCCACAAGCAACTTCGAGTGCTACAATCGAACGTTCTACAACACACGAGATACTTCTTGACTTGAGGAATGAAAAAATATCGAGGGTATTGCTCAAGAAGCGGAAAAAAGTCGAATTCTTTGCAGTCTTATTTTCGATTTGCAGTTATAGTCGTCTCCTCGGCAGAATTTGCAGCTCTAGTCGCCGGACAGGCTTTTGGGGCGAATGTCGTTTTCCGAAAATATTTCGGGTGTTTCCGGCTCTGCCCGGGCTATATGCACGCATGTGTCTTGTCGCTTTACATATGCCATTTACATATGTGTGTGGATATATCTTACCAAATATTTGATAAAAATCTTTTAAAACTAAATTACTTGAATAATTCAGTATCCTCATATGATTTTTTTTATGGGAAGATAATTCTTTCAAACATTGAGCTTATTAATAGATATTTGTCAGGAAATACAGATAGTGATAAATACATGTTTGTTTTCCAGGTATTCAACCAAGAGGGTTACTGACATGAACCAAGAGGGGTTCAACCTTGCTCATATTACTTTCAAAATGTAACCGTGTGCATAATCGAGATTCCGAATATATCGGATAGTTGGCGCATATGTATTCTGCGAACCCCGCAGATGCACACACATATGTAAATGGCATATGCAACACGACAAGACACATGCGCGCAAATAGCCCGGGCAGAGCGAGAAAGACCCGAAATATTTTTGGAGAGCGACATTCGCCCCAAAAGCCTGTCCGGCGACCAGAGCTGCAAATTCTGTCGAGGAGACGTCTATAACTGCAAATCGAAAATACGACTGCAAAACATATGCCTAGTTTCTGCTTCTTGAGCAATACTCTCAAAATTCTCTCTTCTGGACGCCGCGCCAACGAGCTTTTTTGTGCTTCATGAGATATTTCTCGATTGTTCCATGGTCGGCCTTGGAAAGGTCAGGGCTTGCGTCAGATCACGCTGACGGGGCTTGCTTTGCCGTCACACAACTAGAGATTTTCCCCACGTAAGCAAGAACGACGTCAGACCAATGCCTTTCCAAATGCTTCTGGAAGGACCGAGGCGCATGAGAGAGAGAAAACGCATCCGCGCCGCTGCTGAATCTCCGCCTCCTCTTTGCGCATGCTGCTTTCTCGCACTTCGGCGTCCCTCGCCACCGCCACCCTTGAAGCCCTGCAGAACGAAGCATAAATCAACCCGAGATTGCCCTAATTCGTCATGCACAGAACATCTGATTCCCCCATACAGCCAACACAAGCGCAACGCTCATAAGCCAGACGCTACGCAGCTTACGGCCTGTGAAAAAGGGCTGGTTTATTTCTTGCTGCTTGAAAGATTCGCGACGACTGTCCCCATGGCCTCCGCAACTGCCTTTGCTCTTCGCAGCGTGCCTCGCCTTCTCCGAGCGCCTCTCCTGCTCACGAAGCCAGGTGCGCCATCCTTGCTGCTGCCTTCCCTTCAGGCAAATTCACGATTTCCTTTTCTCCCGCCGTCGCTTTGTTCCAACATGAATCGCTGTTCATTCCTTCTACTACAGGCCTTAGTAACATCGCCCTATCTGGCCCGCTCTCCCTTACTTTGAACGCAGACGTGCTGAAGGCGCCGCGATGCGTGTCAGGGTCCCGCGCCATCTTCGCATCGGCAGAAAAGCAGCAGTCGCAGCAGCAATCCCAGTCGCAGCAGTCGCAGCAGTCGCAGGATCAGAAGCAGATGGTGGAGCATGAGGCGACGCCCGTGGCAGTCGAGAGGCGTGGCCAGAGAGACCTCGCTTCCCGCGCTGTCGCTCCTCTTGGGGCGTTTTCTGGTACGAGCATCAAAAGAAACGAACGCACAAATATTCGCTGGATTTTTGTTTTCCAGCCCTACAGCTTTACATAAACCTTCAGCACGTCAGATTCACTTCATGCTTGAATAAGAAACCGCCGCTTCGTACTAATCGTCCCCTCTTCCCGTCGCCGTGCGTGCAGATCTGCTGGACCCCTTCTTCCCCACCAACCGTTCGCTCACGCAGCTGCTGGACTCCGTGGACCGCATGTTCGATGACGCCTTCCTGCCGCATCCCATGGCGCGCTTCCCCTCTCTCTTCCGCGCCGCCACGCCTCTCGCGCCTGCTAGCGCGGCCGCGCGCCCTGCTGTGGCGGTGAGGATGCCGTGGGACGTGCGCGAAACGGACGACGCCTTCCACATGCGCATCGACATGCCGGGTAAGCCTGCGGCTTGCTTTTGCTGTCATCTCTTGCAACCCGTGTGTTGGGTCATAGTACTCAGCCCCTATGTGGCTATTGTTTGTGCTGCTTCGATAAAGAATTATTCCGTTATCTGCTGCCTACTATTTGGTGCGTCTACCTACACGCACTGACGTGAGGTGCGTGCATGCATGCGCGTGGGTGCAGGGCTGTCTAAGGAGGAGGTGTCGGTGAAGTTGGAGGGCGGCAGTCTGGTGATTCGCGGGGAGCACAAGGCGGAGGAGAAGGGCGGCGAGGAGGGCGAGGGACTGTGGGATGCGCGCATCGCCAAGTCGTACCAGGTGGGTACATCTAGCCTCATGGCTTCAGTGGCCTCAGTGTCCTCGTGTCGCGGCGACTGCCTTGCTCATTCTTGACTATCTGCAGAATAGATACCTTGGAGGATGATGTATCTTGAACCGTTCGTTTGTGCGCATGTCTGGTCTCCAACTCGTACTTGTGTTGCCACCGGGACTGCAGACGACTCTGGCGCTCCCTGACAACGTGCTGACGGGCGAGATCACGGCGGAGATGAAGAACGGCGTGCTCACTGTCACCATGCCCAAGGAAACGCCGCCAGAGCCCGCCACCTCCGCCGTTGACATCCCCGTTGCGTGATGGCAAGTGGCTCTGCTGCTTCCGCAGGCAGTGCTCCATTCCCCGGCTTGGGATTGGGGAGTGTATAGTTTAGCAGCCGCTGCTTGAGGGGATAACTTGTAGAGGAAAGTTTGTGTACAGCAGCCTTGGCCCCTCAAGTAGTCACAGGAACCAGCATCAGTCTTGTATGCTGGAACATCGTGGAGAATGAGATGGGTTGCTTTTTAGTACATGGCAGTGCATATCTACACTAAAACCTGACTGGACACGAAGGGAACAAACAACCATTTACAAAAACCATTGACCAAAAAACAATTTGCTGCTGCAACGCCTTTTTGCTTTCACGTTGCCAAGAGGAAAACAGGGTGAAAGCTGTTCAAATTATATAAGTTATAATTTAATATAGGCTTGGTAGGTTGTTACTGAACCTTTCTGTAGGGGGTACAAACCCCTCCTTGTACTCCCTTCTCTTCCTAATCCAACCCTCTTCTCTCTCGACACTCTCATCCAGCTCCTAGCTAAACCCCGCCGCCACATTCATGGCGGCCTTGTTCCTGCCTAGTATCCTAGCCTAGAGCTACTTTAACATGGTAACAGAGCAGGCCGTTTCCGGTCCTGCCTTCCACGCTTCCGCCTCGTCCTTGTCGTACGTTTCACTTCGTACCGTGCCGCTGATGGCAGCCCTTCGTTTTCCTGCCGCCGTGGCGGCCTTGCCTTTCCGTGCCGCCGTGGCGACTTCTCTGAGATGCCGCGGCGGCTTAGTCGAGCTACAGTCGCACCTCCGCCTCGCCGCCGCGGCATCGACGTCGCGCTGTGGCGGCGTCTCTTGGCTGCCGTGGCGGCGTCTCTTGGCTGCCGTGGCGGCGTCATCGGGCGACAGCCGGCCGCGCATCGTCAATGGTGCCGCCGGACCTGCCGCCCGCTCTGCAGCCGCCGGCGTGATTCTGGACTACGCCCCGCGCCCCTCTCCCCCCCCCCCCCCCCCCCTCCCCCCATCCTTCCCCTGCTTCCCCCCCCTTCCTTGCTGCAGCCAACGACTGCCTCATGCGGGCCCTCCCCACTGCCGAGGTGACTGGACATGCCGCCGAGAGGGCGGGGGCCGCTGCACCAGCCGTTGACGTCCAAGCCGCCGCTGCCGTTGCTGTTGCCGCGGGCCGGGCGCCGCCGCACGCCGCCACCGGCGCCGCTGTCGTCAATGTCGCTGCTACCGCCATAGCCATCCCACGGGCCGTGGGAGCTGCCCGCTTCTGGAGTCGTTGTGTCTCCTGCTGGGAATGGGGGTGCTGGGCTAGAGGGTGTGGGTGTGGGTGTGGGTGTGGGTGTGGGTGTGGGGGTGTGAGTGGGCTTGACACTACCAAGCCTAGGGGGTGTGTTCAAATTATATAAGTTATAATTTAATATAGGCTTGCTAGGTTGTTACTGAACCTTTCTGTAGGGGGTACAAACCCCTCCTTGTACTCCCCTCTCTTCCTAATCCAACCCTCTTCTCTCTCGACACTCTCATCCAGCTCCTAGCTAAACCCCGCCGCCACATTCATGGCGGCCTTGTTCCTGCCTAGTTTCCTAGCCTAGAGCTACTTTAACAAAAGCTTGTTAGCAGCTACAGCCAAGGGCCTTCCTCTGGTGACCCACCACAATTAACCCTCATTGTCAGGAATTCCTGGCCCACATTAGTGGCAACATAAACATGTAGCCAGTCCCACGGGCCCGTTTCCCCTGAAACTGAAGTACAGCAGTGCATGGTGACTGACAGGATAGGTAAAATGACGCAAATGTTGAGCGGGGAAGGCATGTCCAAGCAGGGGAAGTCAAGATACCGTAGCAACAACTCAGGATGCAAGATGGAGCACGCTCCCATTAGCGCTTGTGGGGTACAAAGATTGACTAGAATGGCGAAGGATCGCTCCCTTCGTGAGTAGGCATGAATTTAGGTCATGGTCGAGCTATGCGTAGAGACGACATGGCTGTATGTCCGGCAGGACAAGGGAAATTCCCCAGGCCTCACTGTCCTTTTTCCATCTCTTGCTCCCTCCGCTTTCTTGCTTTATCTGGAGTTTCATAGTGATTTGCTGAACATATCAGGGAGAATTTTGCGATAGAAGCACGTCCTCTCGCTGGCTGAACCCGAGAGGTCAGTAACCATAGAGAAACTTTCAATAACGAGGTCGATGTCAACAAGTGTTGCTGTCAGTGACACGTCGTCCACAGTCGTATCCATGCCAGAAATGGGCATCTCCTCCGTTTATTTCCTGTCCAATAAACGGAGGAGATGCCCGTTGCTCTCCTTTCCAATTCCCTGGTCCTCCTCCCCCGCAACCCTCCGCCACCACCCGCGCATCACAATTTCTGGAGGGTTGATGCCGCATGGAGGGCCTAGCTTTCACCTGAAATTGTGGTGGCTTTCCACGTGTACGGCGTTCGGCAGTTGACTCTCGAGGCGCTGCGCCAGCAGAGCTGAGGAAGATTTCCGCAGCGAGTGTCAGACCCGAGGTCGACCCGCGGCCGAAGGAGTCGTGGGCTCTCACAACCTAACTGCGGGTTTAATTTTCTTGACGGTGCAGCGGCTGCATAGTCGCGAACTTTCGCAAGGGGAGGGTTGCGACTATACTGGTAGAGCTTTCAAGTCCAACAGAAATTTACGAAGTTATGACTGGTGGAAGTTCATTTGCGCGACTTTGTTAGTTGTTCGGTTTGACAGCTGACTGGCTGGAGCCGTCGGTTTTTCGCAAGACCCAAGGCAATTTTTTTCCAGCCTCGGATCTTCCCTCTAAACCCTCGGGTCTAAGGGTTATTTCTGGAGCTCGTGTCTGACACGAGTGTCATACGGGAACAGCAGAGGTGGAAAAATATTGCCTCGGGTCTTACGACTCCCGACGGCTGCTTGACTGGAAACATACCCGGGCTGCTAGACCCAAGGTTGAGCCTCTAAACCCCGCGGTTCCTTCGACCGCGGGTCAGCCTCGGGTTCGACCCGCGGTGCAGAATGCACCCTGACACTCGCTGCGGAATTACCCTGAGTACTGCCACTTTAATTTCGTTGTCTGCCCCTTGGAACGCATAATCCCCCAACGCGGTGGGAATTCTACGGTTCTGTTTGGTGGAAACCCAATTCGTGGCCAAATTCAACCATTCTCCGACTCTAATTTCAGCACGTTTTGGAACTGCCACCACCTCACACGAAACAAACCAGGAAACAAAACAAAAGGCATCACCAAAACCACCACCTCACACGAAACAAATATCCCCCTCTCAACTCCCCTCCTCCCCTCCTGTAACAGCACGCCACAACACACCCATCCCCCCACCGCCCACCGTCTTATCACACCCTTTTGTCCGTCCGATCCCTCTCGATTGGACCCCCCACAGATCGATGATCCCTTGGTTTGTGTGTCTCGAGTTTCGATTCGACTCCCTACTGACACTGCCGTGGACCAACACTTTCCCTCCCCAAGCATCTACTGTATGTGCGAGCTTCGAGAGCATCAATCCATGGCGGACTGATGCCGTCGATCTCGCTGGTGCGTATACTGTCCGTCAGCCTCGCTGGAGCCATATAACTGAGAGTCGACAGAAAACGTCCGTTAACTTCTGAGTCAGCCTGCCGTGCTCCTAGTATATGTAGAGCTCGAAGGCTTCCGTGAAAAAGCTGTCGAATCCAGGCGTGCGAGATCTCGTTGCTGATTTCCCCAGAAAGAAAAGAGAAGAAGCTCCTCAAGTCCGAAGCTAATGCGCTTAGATTCTGAATCCCGCCATCTTCCTCAGAGGGTTCATAGTCGTTTTATTCGTTTTTTTTTTTTGCATACGTCCGAATATTTCGCAGTGTAATTCCGGAGATTCAGCGAACCCCCCCAACGCAGTCGTCGTCGTGACCGCTTACACCTGTAAGCCACTACTCAGCCTTCAACATTCATTCAAAGGCAACTTTCCCCGATCACTGAAACGCGGCAGCAATCTCGTTCCGAGCGCGGCCTCCTGTGTCTCTCGCCTTTCTATCCTCTGCTCTCGCCCACGCGCGCGTCTCCCAATCATCGCTCTCGGTTCTCGCTCTTCGGGCCGAGGCTCCTGCGCCAAGCCGAGCATCGTTCATCGACAAGTTGAGGAAACCGCCGCCGCAGCCGCAGAAGCGAGATTGCTGGGAGTCGTAGTCGTTGATCCTCGGCGGGGGTGGCCGCCGAGCTTCCGTGCGATGCGGAGCTCGCCGTGACGCCTCTGCTTGCTCGGCTGTATCTGGAGTGCTTTGACGAGGCGGCACGAGGAGACGGGAGGAGACGGGAGGAGGAGGGAGGAGAGAGGAGATCCGGGAGTTGGAGCAAGGGTCCAGCAGAGGCAGTCGCGCGGCGGTCGCGGGTGTGCCAAGGCGAAGCAGCATTGTTTTGTCACGCTCGAGCGGTCGGGGGTTTAGCGTGATTCCGCCTCGTCGCCATGGCGTGGGCGGTCGATTCCACTGTGAAGCTCGTGCTGGGCATTATAGGTTCGTTGCGCGTGTCCTTGTGAACTCGTGCCTCGTTGCAGCTGCTAGGACTACGCTGTGCATTTCCGCATTTTCTCCAGCCCCGTCGCCCTCGCCTCCCCACCTCTTCCGCGCACGCACGCACGCATGCAAGCTAGTGTACATATACACAGCCATGCACGTATGCATACCCATCACCCACCCACTCATTCACTCTCCTTCTCCTCGTCCCACGAACTGCAGGCAATATAACGGCCCTCGCTCTCTTCCTCTCCCCCGTGTAAGCCCTCAACCCTCCCAAAATGCCCCTTCCTACGTTCCCTTTCACGCAGCTTCCTCTCCCCATTGGCCCATCTTTCACCCATTCCTCCCTCCAATCACGCATTCTCTTCCCCCGTTCACTCACTCCCCTCCTCCCTTCCGCGCACTCTCCTCGCCCTTCTCACCCTATCCTCCCGCCTGTCACTTGCTATCCCCCACTCTCTCACCCTCCCTCCTCTCGTTCACCCATTCTCCATCTCCCGTTCACACTTCCTCTCTTGCACATCCTCGTCCAATCCCCACCCTCGTTTGCTAGCATAGGCCCTCCTCCTCCTCCTCCTCCTCCTCCTCCTCCTCCTCCTCCTCCTCCTCCTCCTCCTCCTCCTCCTCCTCCTCCTCCTCCTCCTCCTCCTCCTCCTCCTCCTCCTCCTCCTCCTCCTCCTCTCCTCCTCTTCCTCCCCTTCCTCCTCCTCCCCCTCCTCCTCCTCCTCATCCCAAATTCCTCTTCTCAAGGTCAGCATGTCTGCACTCCCCCCTTCTCATGCCTCATCCCTCCTTCGGGAATACTTCCCCCCCCACCCCCCCCTACCCCCCACCTTCCCAATGCCTCTCGCTCTCTCCCACCCCTCTCTCAGCAACACCATGCGTAAGATCTTTCGCGCACGGGCAGTCGGAGACTTTTCGGAGCTGCCCTACGTGATGACGCTGTTCAACTGCCTGCTGTGGACGACGTACGGGCTGCCCGTGGTGGAGGCGGGGCGCGTGCTGGTGTCGACCATCAACGGCACGGGCGCCTTCCTCGCGGCGCTCTACATCATCCCCTTCCTCGCGCTCAGCACCCGCGCCGCTAAGGTGGGCGGATGGCTGGCATGGGTGGGGTGGGTGGGCCTGGCAGGGATGTTGGGGGGGTTGTGGGAAGGGTGGGGCTGAACCACATAGCACCGGGGGCGTTTTCCATGGTTGGGCCTTCTTGGCATGCACTCGTGGTGCACAGCACTGCTATGATGCATGGCACTGGCTGTGATGCATGGCACTGGCTGTGATGCATGGCACTGGCTGTGATGCATGGCACTGGCTGTGATGCATGGCACTGGCTATGATGCATGGCACTGGCTGTGATGCATGGCACTGGCTGTGATGCATGGCACTGGCTGTGATGCATGGCACTGGCTGTGATGCATGGCACTGGCTGTGATGCATGGCACTGGCTGTGATGCATGGCACTGGCTGTGATGCATGGCACTGGCTGTGATGCATGGCACTGGCTGTGATGCATGGCACTGGCTGTGATGCATGGCACTGGCTGTGATGCATGGCACTGGCTGTGATGCATGGCACTGGCTGTGATGCATGGCACTGGCTGTGATGCATGGCACTGGCTGTGATGCATGGCACTGGCTGTGATGCATGGCACTGGCTGTGATGCATGGCACTGGCACCTTCCGAGATCACACCAAAGAATGGTCTTCTGGAGTGGTTCTTTGGCATCCATACATGATTCAGGCTGATTCTCTTCCCCGCTCTTCCCCCGTTGGCCCCCTTCTCTCTCCCCCTCTCCCCTCACTTCTTCTCCCCTCCCTCCCCTGTCCCTCTCACCCATAGCTTCTGCCCTCTCCCCCCTCTCCTCCTCTTCCGCAAATTTCCACCTCTCCCTCCTCTTTCCCGCTCTCCCACCCCTCTCTCCTGTCCCTTCACTGCCCTGCTCTTGCCTCTTCCCCCTTCACCCCATCTTCCCCCCCTCCCCCTCTCATCCCCTCTCGTCCCCTCTCTCTCCCCTCTCCCCCCGCGTCCCCCCTGCGCCTGCCGTGCATCAGGTGCGCACGGCCATGCGCACGGGCGTGGTGCTGCTCCTCTTCGCCACCATTGTCCTCGTCACCTTCCTCGCGTTCCACACGCCCTCGGCGCGCAGCAGCTTCCTGGGCATCTGCAGCGTGGTGGTGACGGTGGGCATGTACGCCAGCCCGCTCGAGGTGATGCTCACGGTTGTGCGCACCAGGAGCGTTGAGTTCATGCCGCTGCTGCTCTCGCTCAGCTGCTTTGTCAATGGGCTCGCGTGGTCAGGTGGGTCAGGGTGACACTGAGGTTGGGGGTGGGGTGGGGGTGGGGGTGGGGTGGGGGTGGGGGTGGGGTGGGGATGGGGTGGGGTGGGGATGGGGTGGGGGTGGGGTGGGGGTGGGGGTGGGGGTGGGGGTGGGGATGGGGGTGGGGTGGGGGTGTGGGTGGGGTGGGGGTGGGGATGGGGGTGGGGATAGGGGCGGGGGTGGCTACGTTGCGCTCGAACGGCCAAGCGTTTTGCGTTCGAACGCTAGCGTTCGAACGCAAACGCCCAAACGCTAGGCAAACGTGCAAACGCAAGAGCGGGCTGCCCGCAAAAAAATATATCAAAATTTCGAAATTTTGAAACCAGTTTGCGACGTGCTGGAGAGGAAGAGGTGGCAGGGGTGGCAGGGAAGGCTGGTGTTAGGGTAGCTGCAGCATGGTGTGGGGGGCATAAATTGTAGTACTCGCGGCGGCTTATTGTAGGGAAGATGCATCCTGGTTGTGTTGCATGGGAGAGGGGGTAGGTGTGTGTGATGTGATGGATGGATGTTAGGTTGACTTGTGAATGTACCCTGAAACTTTTAATATTTTATTAATGGGGGTGGTGGATGAAGGTGCCCTTCACGCCCTTCCTTTCGCCTCCCCCCCCCCCCCCCCAGAAGCCCGTTCTTTTGCCCTGCCCGAAACTTTTTTAACCCTGCCCGGGCCAGCGTTTTCCTAGCGTTTGCTCCCCTCCTGGCCAAGCGTTTTGCGTTTAAACGCTAGCGTTTAAAACGCCAAACGCGTTTCTTCCAACGTAGGGGGGTGGGGGTGCTGCTGCTGCTTCTGAGTGTGCGTTTCTGCATGTACCTCACTGACTGGATGTGCACGCTTGTGGGGGAGTTAGATTATGGCTTGTTTGGTTCAACATTATTCTGTATTCTCCAATAACCCATTATACTCTTGTATTCACCCAGAATTTCCGTTACAGTTAGGCACCATGCCATACTTTTGACCCTTTAACTCCCTCTCTCCTGACCCTTGAATTCATTCCAATCCCACCCTCTCGTATTGTTCCTCCACCCCCCCCTTATAGTCCCTCCACCCCCAAAACTCCCCCTCGCCATTCCTTTCTAAACCCTCTATCATTGCCTGGTGCAGCCTATGGAGCATACACCATGGACATCTATATCCTTGTAAGCCAGCCCTCTTCAACACGAGTTCAAGAGCACTGTTTGAATTGAAGTTGCCTCTCTTGTCGTGCTTCCCATGTCATTCTGCCTGTCTGCTTTCGTTTTTGTTTTTTTCCCAGCGCTGTCCATCCGTCTTTTTAACCATCTCTACTAGTCCCCTCCCCAAACCCGTCCACCCATCCCCTTTTATTCGTCTCCCATTTCTGTCCTTGGGGTCACCAACACAGATACCGAACGGCATTGGCACACTGCTTGGCTTCACACAGCTTGTACTGTACGGCATCTACAGCAGATCTGACAAGTCAGGAGCAGCTGTGGGTGCAGATGGCAGCAGAGAACAGCAGAAGAGGAGGGGTGGCGCTGGGGTGTGGAGACGGGGGGGATCAGATAGCACAAGGCACATGTTGGGATCTAGCAATTCCCTTAGTCTCTCGAAAGATGCTATCACCCCAGAAGAGATGGTGGTGGAAGAGGAGGGAGACGAGGAGAAGGGTGGAGTGATAAGGGGGATGACTGGAGATATGGTTGGTAAGGAAAATGGCGAGAAGATGAATGGAGTGGCTGAAGAAGTGACCAATGGTGGAGAGAAAGAACGCATAGAAGTGAGGTGCTGACCAGTATCATGATCGTGGAGCAATGTTTGCTTGTTTTGTTGGAATCAAGTATTGGGTAAGCCCCACACTTATTCCACTCCCGTCACCTAAAGCCTTCATCTAGGTATTTACGCTGGAGTGTACTCCCAAATGATGCAGTGCGGTTTAGTTTCTCGTTCTACAATGTCGACCTAACTGATCACCAACCTCACGGAATTGTGAGCTTGCAATTTGGTTGGTTTGTTTGGCGTTTCTTCACGCGGTCACTGCCAGCCAGCCAGTCGCAAGTTCACAGCGCAGTGAGGGCGCAGAAACAAGGCGGCGCTGAAACAGTTGAAACAAGGCAGAGATTTGTTTTGGATGCCCCAGCCAAAAACTTACTTCACTCCGTTTTGCTTCTGGGCAGATGAACCCTGCTCGAATGTTAGCTGATGAATCCGGGCATTTCTAGGGCTTCATTTCAAGTCGCCTGCCCAATTCCGGAAGGCCTCCTTTTTCCGTCCTCCAACTCGCGTGCTGGCACCCAGAACGCGTAGGAAGCGTGAAGTGTGGTGGACTGCCTCTAGTGGAGGAGTCCACCAAGAAAAGTGGCTAAGGTTGTCGCACCCATCAGTGGATCATGGCAAGTAAATGACTGTAGTTTGAGGGAAAACGCATCGTTGCCCTGATGCTGCCGGCGAAAAACAATTTTGGTGACGGGAAACTGGATTCGGAAATGTATCAGCCCTCTTTTTGCCCCTCCTTTCTTGCAGCACCTCTTGCTCCCTAGCAACAGGTGACATCTCGAGTTGCTCACACACAGTACACATGATCCCGCTTACAGACATCCGGGCTTGTCGCACAATCACGGTTAAGGACCCATTGCCGGATACACCCTGCTCGTATCCCCTAGTGTATGTGCACAATCTCTGTTCAACATGAAACGACCCACACGAGTTTACTGTACAAGATAGCGCACAGATTCCTCGGAAACCAATAGAATTCGTCCAGTAGATTACGTTAGCGAAAAACAACAGCCTAGCGAAGTCACTTGAAGGCTTATCGTGAGCCAACGAGCTGACAACACGCCACGTAGACACGGAAGTTTCTAGCATGAACAGATTCCTATGTTCAAATGAATGAACTGCAAGAACACGTCAGCGTTTACCAGCGCAGTTCACCGGCGTGCTCTACGAACTTCAAATGCGTGGGTATGAGCCACGTCTATCCGAACAGCCTCCATTCACACATTGTTACCCCATCCAGCTCCGCTTTCGCCCAACTGACAACATGTTTGCCCCTCGCTCCCGTCGGCTGCCTCGCCTGCACAGAAGGGCCCAGATTTCGCTCGACATGAAGCGAGAATTTTGTCGACAGACGGAAACCCTTCCGTCTCCCTCCGTCTCCCTCCGTAGCACTCCGTGTCTCTCCGTTTCCTTCCGTTTCCCTCCGCCTCCCTCCCTCGCCCTCCGTCTCCCTCTCCTATCTCTCCTCCTCGCCCATGTCGACGCCGTGCCGCCCAGCGCCAAGATTCTGTTGTGGATTTTTTTTCCGGCATACATTCTCTCTTCCAGCGTGTTCGGCGTTTTGTTATTTCGTTGATCGCGCTCCGGCGACGTTTTTCTGGGGTCTGGTGCCCCGTCTCACCAGTTTTGAGTTCCGGCGTCGATGTACCTTGTGAATTGTGCTTTGTCAGTACAGATTGTGCACTTATAAAACTCGAGAGAAAGAAAAACCGGGCGCGAGGGGCTCTCTCTCTTTGGACCAACCCGCTCTTCTGTGCCATTCTACTATTCCCATTATTCTCCGTGCCTTCACTATGTCGTCGTTTCGCCGTCGGTTTACTCCCCTCCCACCCCCCCCCCCCCCTCACTCCCCCTCCCCCAACCCCACCGCTCTTTCCGCCCCCCCTCCCTTCCCGCATTCGCACTCGCGCTCTTTCGATCGTTCCGTCGCGTGCCGGCGTGCAGTTTGTTAGTGTTCGGGGTGCGGCCAAAGGCGATGCACTACTGCATCGATGCACACGGCACCGGCGTTCCCACCATCCTCCTGCTGCTGCAGTCCAGATTCAACCAACTCCACGACCTCTCTGTAAACTCTTTCCCCCTCCCCTCCCTCGCTCTTTCTCACGCTCGGACACACGTTCGCACTCTCCCTCTCGCTCTCGTGTTTGCCTTCCGTACTCGCATTCCCATGCCTCCCCTCGCAACATGCGACATGCGACATGTCCTGCCAGCGACGGCTGTGATGGACGGCTTTGATGTCGCGGCGGAGATCATGTGTGTGCGTCTGTGAAGGGGTGTGTGGATAGGTGTGCCTCTCTGGTTTCTGTTTCTTGAGTTTGTGATTCTCAACTGCGCGGCAGATGGTAACACGGGATAGTATGAGCATGTGGACAGTGAACGTGATAACCAATGTGGGAAGGCTGAAATTGTGGCCTTGGGGCAGGAGTTGGAACATGGGGTGTCATCTATGGAAGTACGTGTCACTGTTGTAAACTAAGTGTTGTAATTCTGTAGGTGTTGTCTCATAAACGTAGTGCAATGTTGTTGTTGTTGTAACATGAAGCGCTTCCTGTGGGTCAGAAGTTTCTCATGCCGGTTACCAAGACGGACGCACATACGCCGAACGCATTTAATGACAATAGTCCGGCTAATCCCGCCCCCGAAGTGTACAAGCCCTTTTTGCCCGGTGTTTTGGCCGGAGGATACATGCACGCACCGCGTAAAAAAAATGCGTGCCTGTATCGTGGAACAAGTGTACAGTAGAGGACTGTTGATCCGTACGCACACTTCTGCCTAAATTGGCAGGATAGTACTGTATCGTCAGCCGTCCTGCCAGCCAATGGCTAGGGACTTGATTCATATAAGCCGCCAAACAAGGTACCATTTACATTATGTCGTTAGTTGTTTTAGTAGCACCATGTCAGAACGCCTGGGCGATGCTATCTTAAACTCAGCCCTACGCTTCCCTGGCTTGCGGGAGCCCCTTGGCCGCCTCTAATACCCTAACGTAGGAAATGATTGCGTCAGCACCATGGGAGAAGCAACAGCAGCAGGAGGAGGAGGTAGCGCGCGCCTTAATTAACAGACACCCGAGCTGGCGTCGCGGCACAGCCGGGGAATCAGCATGGAAGCGGAGGGGCAGGACTCAGGCACGCCTAGTGGTGCTAGACCCGACTCTCAGCTGTCGAAGCGAGACGTTGGGGAGGGAGCGACAACACGACCGAACGCGCCGCTTTTGCTGGAGCCCGCAGCATGTTTCGCGGCGGGCCGCGCCGTAGCTGCTGGAGGGGTGAGCCCAGCTCGCACTGCCCTCTCGCTATAGGTTACTCATCGCGGCCGCCCGCCGATAATGCTGATTTCCGTTCATTAAAGAATGAATGCCGCGATTAGGGTTTTATTTCTATTGTCTGTAGAGCCGCACTCTTGCTTGGGGGACTGGCGTGCAGCGTTTGATTGAAACACAAGCCGCGCGTCTACTCTTCACTCGTGCCGCATGACTCCCTCCCCATGGCTTCCCCACGTACTCCCCATGTCCCACCCATGAATCCCCCCTGGCCTCCCCATGTGCTCCCAATGTGCTCCCCATGTTGACTCCATGGCCTCATCATGGCTCCTCTCCTCTCATGCGCACCGCCCTCCTGCGCTGTCGTCCCCCGCAGCCTCAATTCCGTCAGTACCGCAAGTTTCCTAGAACGACTAACGCGCGTCCTCTCCTCGATCCCTGTCGTCTCTTCTCCTGTGTTCGCTGCAGCGCGAAGCGGTAGCATCAGCGCAACCGATTGCCAGCAGCAGCAGCAGCAGCAGCAGCAGCAGCAGCAGCAGCAGCGGCAGCGGCAGCGTAGTGTCCGTGGTACCCGCCTTCCCATCCCCCATGGACGTGTCCCACCTCGCCTCCACCCTCGCCGCTGCCATCCCCACCGCCCCTCCCCCCCACGCGCACGCCTCCCCCGCTTCCCCCGCCTTCTCCCCGCCCCTGCTCTCCCCCCGCTCCGCTGCATGCTCCCCTGAAGCCAGTCCGCGGGGCAGCAGGCTCAAGGTGTCCGCGGATATCATTATAGCGCGTACAATCGACTCCGTCCTCGACCTCTCACTCCCGTACAGCTCTGGCGCTTCTGCGTTGAGAGTAGGTTCGGGGGGTAGCTTCGGCAGGGGAGTGTGTGTAACATGGTAACCAGTCATTGGGTTCTGTTGCCTTGCTCTCGCCCACCCACAACCAGCAGCACCAATGCTGCTCTCCCCTCCCGTCTTGCATCACTGGCTCCTGACCTTCCTGTCGGTTTCCTCTCCCTGACACTCCCTCTCATTCTAATATCCTGGCTTGCACATCCGATTCAAGTTTGCCCCACTTGCCATACCCTAAACCCGTTCCGCGTTCACCCTCCCTCTCTCTCCGTCCTCCCCTCTCCTTCCTCTGCGTTGGCCCACCCTTGCCCCCCATGCGCACTGGTTGGTGCGCTGCTGCAGTCCCCACAGCATCGCCCGCACAGCACACATCAGAGTCAGCAGCAGCGGCAGCAGGAGCAGCAGAATCTGCATCCGCACTTCCTCCCTGCCCTCATTCTTCCGGACCCCACACCCAGCAGCACCAGCAGCAGCGCTAGTGCTGGCACCACCATCGGCAGCAGCAGCAGCAGCAGCAGTGGCGGTAGTAGCGTGAGCAGCAGCAGCATTCCCGACAGCAGCTTTGGCTTTGGCAGTCCCACGTTCAAGCCCACTCCAGCGCCCGCCTTTCCCGAGCCCCTAGGAGACCCAATCGAGGGGGGAGGAGGAGGGGCGGAGGGCGAGAGCAGCAGCAGCCCCGGAGCAGGGGAGGCGGACACGCCTAAGATAGGGCGCGCGGGGTCGCTGTGGGGGGCGAGGGGAAGAAAGGGCGCCGCGCTCCCGTCGCTGGTGGTGGACCTGCCCGACAGCAAGTCGCCCTCGGGCGCTGGTACGCATGGCGGGGGATGGTGGGGCATGGCAGGGTGGGCATGGCAGGATGGCACCTTAACTCCCTTCCCCTCTTACTCTCCCTCTCCACTTTTTCCACCTCATGCCTCCACCATTTCCTCCCTGCGTCACGCCCCCGCACCCCGTGCACCCCCTCGCAGGCCATTCGTTTGCAGCAGGCACGGCAGCAGATGCAGCAGTGGAGTCGCCCGTGGCCATAAATTCCACTCCGCCCGCCCTCACTGTCTCTCCACCCTCCTCCTCCTCTTCCTCGAACCCATCGGCCCTCAGCCCTCTCGGGTTCAGCTTCACCCCAACATCAGCACCAGCATCGTCAGCAGCACCACCTGGCCCATCCTCTCCCACTCTCCCCACCACCCCGCCCCCGTCCCTCTCTCCGTCCCTCACCAAACCTCACTCCCCCCTCTCCCCGTCCCTCCCATCCCCTCTCACCCACTCCCCACACGCCTCCCCCCATGCCTCCCCCGCGCCCGCCTCCCTAGCGGCAGCGTTCGCGGCCACAAGGGAAGCCACCCCCTCCGCCATCTGCCGCTCCCCTATCGCCTCGCCCCTCACCTCCCCCGGCCCCTCCCCCTCCCTCACGCCCTCCTCGCGCCGCCACCTCCCGCCTTTTCCCGAGCCGCCCATGGCGCCGTCTCTCTTCGACGCCATGGACAAGCTCCTCTCCGTCTCCACAGGGGCAGCAGACCTCGACGCATCCCCGCTCTCCTCGCCTCTACCGTCGCCCGGCCTTTCCCCCTTCCCCGCGCTTGCCCTGTCTCCTGGCCCGTCTCCCGGCCCTTCCCCAGGCCCCTCCCCTGTGCCCTCGCCTTTATCCGCCACCGGTAGGAACAGCGTTTTCCGGCCCTTGTTTGGCAGGGGGGTCGCTTCTGCTGCTGTGGCTTCTGCTGCAGGCAGCGTGGCAGCGAGTGTAAGCCCTGGCAAGCTGTTACCGTCTGGTGGCAGTGACATAGGCAGCAATGGCATGCGCGGCAGCAGTGGCAGCAGCAGTGGCTTGGAGGGTGGCTTGGGAGCGGTGGGGTGGGTGGGTGGTGCTGCTAGCACTAGTCCTGGCAAGGGGCGCACGCTGCTGGGTCTGGTTAACCCCAGTGAAGCCGCCTTGCATTCCGCCTCCTCGTCCTTCAACTCTCGCAAGCAGTTGGAATCCTTTCGAAAGAATCGCCCCTCTGCTCGCACCAATGCCACAGAGGGCTCCATCCCGTCTCCTCGTTCCTCCTCCCTCTCACCCCTCCATTCCGCCTCCTTCCCCACCAGTGCAACCATCCCTGCTGCATCACCCCTCGTAACCTCTCCCTTCTCCGCTCATCCTCTCCTCTCCTTCGCACCCATCTCCCTCACCTCCCCCCCTGCCCGCCTCCTAGCCTCGTCTCGCTCCAAGTCGCTGGACCTGGCGCCGGTGGCAGCAGTGGCAGGGGAAGGAGGGCTGTATGGCAAGAGCCAGTCCCTGGATCTCGAGCACTCAAGGCCGATGCTGGATCGCTCCAAGAGCTTGCCTGCTGCTGCCAGTGCTGCTATGGCTGTCGCTACAACTGATGCTGCCACTGATGCCACAACGGCTGTTCCTATGGCGAATGTAGCTGATTCTGCTACAGCCAGAGCAGCTGCTGCAGCAGGCTCTGTCCCTGTTGCGTCCCCAGGTGCCCCTGTGGCGGCTGTGGCGTCAACAGCTAGTGGTTCGCCTGACTTGGTCTTGGATTGCGGGGAAGTCACCTCTGTTGTGCCAGAAGCAGTGGGCGCACTGTCCGGGGGGGGTATGAAAGAAGAGGGGGGGATGGTCGTAGGTGCGAGAGGCTCTTCTGATTCCCAGGAGAAGGGAGAGCTGGAGGAAGAAGACGAGGGGCGAAGGGATGGTGGGAGGTCACATGGTGGAGCTGGTGGTTCAGAGGAGGCAGTGGCGTGTGGAGGAGGGGAGGAAGGAGAGCGTCATGTGCCAGTCAGATTGGGTATGGCTGCTCCTCATACCTCCTCTGCTGCTGCTCCCCCTGCCGCTCCCCCTACTGCTCCGACTGCTGCTCCACCTGCTGCTCTCAGTGATGTGTCGGGTGAGGGCAGTACTGCTGCTGTTACTGCTGCTCATGCTCCTTCTCCTCCCAGGGCCCTCCCCAATGGTCCTCTGGAGCTTTCTGCTCTGGCTCACGGCAGCGGCAAGCCTCAGGATGGAGTGCACGGGCAGCAGGCTCATGGCCATACGCACCAGCAACAACCAGTTCACCAACCAAACCAGCAGCAGCAGCAGCAGCAGCAGCAACAGCAGCAGCAGCAACAGCGGGCAGCGCCGTTGGTGATAAACGTTGCTCCGCTGGATGCCGTGTCAGCTGCGGGGAGAGTCACTTTCGACGGGCCCCTCGTGGGCGGCCTGGAGGAGCCCCTGCTCTTGCCCAGCTTCAGCAGCGGCGCGCTGCCCTGGCAGCGCAAGAAGAGCCCCCCTCCTTTTGCTGCCGGCGCACGGGCCATAGAAGCGCTGAAGCGAGCAGAGAATGCACACGACACTGGGGCTGCTGCTGCGGCTGGAGCTTCTGGGGCTGCTGCTGCTGCTGGCAGCATGCGAGGTGATAGTTCTGACGAGGAGGGGATTCACTTGGCCTCATCTGCACTGCCTTGGGGTGGCTCTTCTGGAGGTGCAGCAGCAGCAGCAGGGGTGGGCGGGTGGGCGGTGGAGCGATTGGTGGTCGAGCAGGGTGAAGAGGGGGAGGTGCAGCATGACGGGAGAGGTGATGATATGGGTCTGCGGGACGGCGGCGTAGAGCAGGGAGGTGTCAAAGACCACCCTAACAGTGCTGCTGCTGCTGCTGCTGAGTTTGACCCTGCGGCTCTTGGTGCTGCTGCTGCTGCTGCTGGTGCTGGTGCTGGGGCGGGTGATGGCACTGATGCTGCTGCTGGCAGCTGTGATCTAGACAGCGCGTTTGACTCTCTCTTTGGTGCATCTGCTGGGCTCCTTCCCCCGCCCGAGCCTGTGCTGCCACCGCTCACTCCAGATGCACCATTCGCCTCTCTCCTCACATCTGCCTCCGCTGCTGATGCCGTTGCGGCTTCTGCTGCGGATGATGCACCATCCCCTGATGCCACTGCCCCTTTTCATTCAGCAGGAGCAGCAGCAGCAGCCGCCGCAGGAGGAGGAGAAGGAGGAGGTTCAGGTGTGAAAGCAGTTGCAGCGCCAGTACAAGGCACTGGCCCTCTGTCTAACCACTCGCCCTACAGGCACACGCCACCCCATCACCCTCCCCTGGGCCTTCAACCCCTCTCCATCCCAGGCAAGTCCCAGCCCACAACGCCCACGCCACTCCACTCTGCTCCCACCCCCTCCCCCTCCTCCCTCTCCCTCGCCTCCTCCCCTCTCATCACGCCCTCCCCCCCCAGCTTCCCCCACAGAACCTTCCCTCGTTCGGCCACCTGCTCCTCCCTGCCCGCGCCCTCGCCCTTCTCCCCCGCACACCCCCCTTCGCCCGGCTCCCTGGAGGCTCTCTTCCAGTCCTCCAAGCACCACGGGGGCGTCTCCCCCGGCGTTGACAACTGCAGCCTCTCTGCCTCCTCTCTCCTCGCACTCACTCTCCCCCCCTCCTCCTCGTCCTCCTCCACTCCCTCCTGCACTCCCACAAAAGCACCAACAGCAACAGCAGCAGCATCCGCAGCGGCGGTATCAGCAGCAGCGGCACCTGCCTCCTCCCCCATCCCTCCTACCTCACCTCTCACCCCCCTCGTGTACGCTGCTCCCATGCCTCCCGCTCTGCTATCCCGCCCGGCCCTGGCTCGATACCACACCATGCCCGCAGGGCACATGGTCAATGTGCCCATGCCGGCTCCAGCCGCCATCCCCTCGTTTCTGGACTCCTCTGGCAACCCTGTAACCCTGGAGGAGTTGTTCCAGCAAACCCGGCTGTCAGGAATCCCTGTGATTTCGCCTCTGCCATCCCCACTTGTCTCCCCGGCGGTCAGTTCTCCAGCCACCACATCACCACCTGCTGTTTTCCCTGCTGCTGCTGCTGGCACCCCTGGGTTAATGTCGCCTGTGCTTGTAACGCCTGTGCTTCTATCGCCTGCCATGTCCCCTGGTGTATCTCCACCTGTTGTGTCGTCTTCCCCTGCCAAGTCTCCTGTGACCCTTCTCGGCCTAGTCCCGCCCTCATCTTCCGCCTCCTCCCTGTCGCCCTCCAAGCACCAACCTTCTCCTCCTCCATCCTCCTCCCTGTCATTTCTAACGACAAAACCTTCCCTCGTTTCCTCCACCTCGTCCTCCACCTCAACTCCCACCACCACCACTACCACCAACCCCCCTGCCACTGTCCCATCGCTCTCACCAGCCCCTCCCTTCAACCACCTGACCCCGTCACCTCCTCCGCCGCGCTCGCCTTCGGCCCACGACCCGCGCTCCCCCCGCCACAACCCCCACTCGCCCAGGCACGAGTGGCGGTTGCCCCTCCCCCCCAGCGTGCTCGACTCCCTCGCTGTTCACCCTCCCGGCAGCCCCGTGCATTCCGTGCAGAGCCCCTCGCGCCCGCGCTCCCCCGTGCCGCTCTCGCCCCGCGTGCTGCGCCAGGTGGCTGCTTCCAACAGCTTCAACAGCAGCAGCCCCCGCGCTGCCTCTGCTGCTGCCGCTGCTGCAGCTGCTGCTGCTCAGGCTGCTGCTACTGTGCCTGCTGTTGCTGGGTTAGGTGGGAGTTCAGGTGGGATTTCAGGTGGTAATTCAGGTGGAGGGTTGGAGGAGGCGGCTCCACTCTCTCAGCTGGACGTGCTGGTTGCCCTGTCTGCCGGGGATCTCCCTGCCATGCCCACTCACACCTCTCCCACTTCCACTTCCACTGCCACTGCCGCTGCTGCCGCATCTCCTGACCGAATCTCACCCACATGGGCAGTAGACAGAGCTGCTGCCCCTGCTGCTGCTACGAGCCACACAGGGTTATCTGGGGCAGGGCCTCCTACCCCCGCAGGTACACCGAGTGTGGCAGGCACATTGAGTGCGGCAAGTACGTTGAGTGGCACGGGCAGTCCCCGGCAGCCACGGCCCCCGCGTGCGCTGCTGGGGCTGGTGGAGGTGCTGGAGGAGGAGCCGCCCAAGTCCCCGCGCAGCGCCAACCCCTCCCCACGCAGCCGCCACATTCGGCGCCACAGCATGCCCAGCGCCAAGAGCAACCTGGGTGCCGCCACCTATGCCGGGGACGGGCAAGCGGGAGGGGGAGGTGGGGCTGTGGTGCCTGCTGCTCCTGGGGCCTCTCCTCGAGTTGCTGCTGCTGCTGCGAATGGCACGGTTTGTGCTGGTGTTGTTGCTGGTGCTGCTGAATCGGCTTCTTCCGCTACCTCCACTGCTGTAACTGGCACACTACCTTCAGAATCAAATCGCTCAGTTGGCTTATCACTCGATAGGCAACAGCAACTGCAGCAGCCGCAGCAGCCGCAACAGCAGCAGCAACAGCGCCAAGAGCAACAGCAGCAGCAGCAGCAGCAGCAGCAGCAGCAGCACCTACAGCAGCGGCAGCGGCAGCAGCAGCAGGACCATGGGTACGCGGCGGTGGGGCTGACCCATCTAGGGCCGTTGCAAGGGGGCGGCGAGGAGGAGCAGCAGTTCCACCTGGACCTCCCCAACTTCAAGACTGCGCGCCGCCCTCCCTTCCTGCGCTCCGATCCCTCACACCACCATGCGCTGCGGCTGCCAGTTGAGGAACGGGCAGGGAGGGAAGGAGGGGGGGGGGATGGTGTGGTTATGGGAGAGGGAATTCGGGATGCTTGGGGGCAGGATGGGCTGAAGGATGCGGTTCGGTTAACAGATGCCACGGCTGTTGCAGCAGTGGAGGCCACGGGTACAGGTGTACCTGCAGGCACTGTTGCACCTGCACCGTTTCTGGGTGCACCTGTGGCCGGTGTTGCAAGCGCGAGCACAGATGCACATGGTTCAGACCAGGGTGCAGATACAGGTGGTGGCAGAGGCAGAGGTGCAGGTGGGTCAGCAGCCGGACCTGCCTCTGCGGGTGCTGCAATGATGCCTGCGATTGTTTCAGGCAGAAACAAAGCAGCAGCGGGAGTAGCAGAGGCAGCAGGAGTAGCAGTCGTAGAAGCAGAAGCAGAAACAGCAGTAGCAGGAGCAGGTGGTGTGGGCAGCTGGTCCTCCCCAAGGGACGGTGCAAGTGCAGGTGCGGCACCGTCAGAGGCGCGCAGGATACTGGCCTTGCTGGAGCGACTGCGCGAGCCACTGGTGGCGGCACGCGGCAAGCTGCAGGCGGGAAGCGCAGAGGCGGCAGCAGTGGAAGAGGCTGCTCGCGCTGTTGAGGGCGACCTGCGCCGACTGCTGGGAGGTGGGGAGGGGTGGGGGGGAGAGGGGCAGGGGGGAAGGGGCAGGTGGAAAGGGATTTGAGAGCGCGTGGTGGGGATGAGGGGAGTGTCGCTGGAGTGGGGTCTGTGGGTGGGGGTGGGGGAGTGGAGGGGAGGAGAAGAGAGGGCGGATTGGGGAATGAAACAAGGGAAGAAGGGGAGGTGAGTGGAGTTTCGAGGGTTAGGGAAGAGGACAGGATGCAGCGATTAGAGGAGTCAGGGGGAAAGGTGGAGCGAGGGGAGGGGGGATCAGGTGAAGGTACAAGTGGGAGTGAAGGGGGGTTAGTGAGGTTAGGTGGTGCTGGTGCGGGTTTGCTGGCGGGAGGGGGGGGAGAGAAGGAGAGGGGAAGCACAGGGCAGGGAGACGACGGGACGGATGGTGTGCTTGCAGTGAGAGGAGAAGCTGGTGAGGATATAGCCACTCTCGACAGCGCATCTTCGCGTGATGCTGCTGCTGCCACTGCTGGTGCTCCTGCCCCTGCCCTCCTGCTACCATCATCAGCAGCAGCGGCAGTGGCAGCAGCAGGAGGTGGGGGGCAGCAGGTCGCCGCTGCTCATGGTGGCTCACGTGCAGGGCGGCAGGCATCTCAGAAGGAGTCCTCACCCACCCACAGGGCTGCTCGTGCTGGGGAGTTGGGTCCCCTGGCGGCTGCTGTAAGTAGGGGGGAAAGGGGTGGAGGGCTGGGCTTGGCAGACGAGGGAGACGAGGGCGGGGAAGGAGGGGACGGGAGTGAAGCTATGAGGAAGGGTGGAAGGGGGCGTGAGGGGCTGGGGGCGTGGGACGGAGTGAAGGGGCAGTTGGGAGTGGGGCCGGCAGGACCGAGAGTGGGGCCAGCAGGGACTGATGCTGGCGTGGCGGCAGGTGACGTGAGAGAGGTTGAGCTGTCGTTCAAGGAAAGCTTGAGTCGGGAAGATAGGGGGATGGATGGGCCTGGAGAGGAGGGTGGTAGCGATGGCGCCACCGTGCACTGTCTCCCTTTCAGTCAGCCTCGGTATGAGCATGAGAATGAGCGTCTGGGCGCGCATGGGCAGCAGCAGAGGCAGGCGCACAAGCAGCATTCGAGGGAGGGCGTTTCTGCGCTGGAGCTTCAAGCAGCACTGCGGCAGGTGGTGAGCCTGGGGGAAGCGATGGGAGCAGCCGCAGCAGCAGCAGGGGGGGGAGGAGGAACAAACGGCAAAGGGAACGCGGCACAGCGGAGTAAGAGGAGAGGGGAAGGATCGGGGAGGATCAGGGATGCCGTGGATACAAGTGCTTCCGATCTTGCCGCTGCTGGTTCTGGCGTTGCTCTTGCTGCGGCTAGCGGTGCTGCGAGTGCTGGTGGTGCGACCAGCGGCAGTAGAGGCAGTAGAGGCACCAGTGGCACCAGTGGCACTGGTGGCAGCATACGTAGTGGCTCGTGGTTGCTGTCGCACGGCAAGCAACCACGCACTAAGGCAGGCAGTGTGCCTGGCAGTGCGGCAGGCAGCACAGCGGGCAGTGGTGCGGGCAGTGGTGTGGGTAGTGGAGTGGGCAGTGGAGTGGGCAGTACGGCAGGCAGTGGCGTGGGTAGTGGGGCGGGCAGCGGAGTGGATACAGGGGAGGACTCTGGGACGGACATTAGAGTGCACAGCTCAAGGCAGCAGCGGAGAGAGGTTGCAGGGAGCATCAGCAGCAGCAGCAGTGGTGGTGGTGGTGGTGGTGGGGAGGTGGCGAGGGGCGGAGTGGTGTCGATGACAGTGGAGGGGGGCAGGGTGGTGGTGTCGGGCACTCTCAAGTACACTCGTGAGGTGCGCTTCTCAGGGGTGTGGACGAAGCACGGGCTCAGCATCACCAATGCTGCTGCTGCTGCTCACGCCCTTGCTCATGCTCATGATGATGCTGCTAGTGCTGCAGCTGCTGCTGCGAGTGGTGCTACTGCCATCCCTTCCAGTCGACTCGGTGTTGCTGCAAGGGCGGACGGCCCTTCTGGGGGGGCTGCTGCTGTTCGGGGGGGTCCCTTGGGGGATGCGGGCCCACTGCCGCGCATGGGTGAGCAGGCGCTGCTGCAGGGGCTGGAGGTTCGGCATAGGAAGCCTGAGAGGGCGGACAAGGGCAAAGGCAGGCGGTACCGGGCGTCGCGATTGGGGAGTATGGTGCAGGGGGATGGTGGGAGTGAGGGGACGAGTGGAGTGACCAGTGGGGTGACCAGTGGGATGGGGAGTGAGGGAGTGAGTGAGGTAGGGAGTGAGGCAGATGTGCAGAGAGGGAAGTGGGGGAGGAGCCGGGCCAGGGGCAGGGAGAGTGGAGAGTCAGTGGGTAGGGATGGCAGCGGAAGTGAGAGTGGGAGTGGCTGGAGCAGCAGAGGACGCGAGGTGGAAGCCAGGAGAAGGAAGGGGAAGAGCCGGATGGGGTTGGCAGCGGAGTGTGGGTCGTTGGGGTCAGCAGGCAGCACAGGTGGAGAGGGTGAAGGGGATGGAGCAGCAGGGGGAGGCAGTGGGAGAGGAAAGGGAAGAGGCTGGGCGAGAGGGAAGGGGAGAGGAAGGGGTGGAGAAGTGTCGGGTGCAGCAGCAGCAGTGGGAGATAGGCAGGGTGCAACAACAACAACGACTAGAGCAGAGGCAGTGATGGTAGAGGCAGGCAGGGTGGGCACTGTGAGTGGGACAGTGCAGCAGGGAAGAGGGAGCGGGGGAGTCGCAAGGAGTGAGGGCGAGGGTGAGGAGGGTGATGATGGTGCATACCAGGAAGGGAGCAGCAGCAGTGAGGATGTGTTTTACGAGGCAAGGGAGGTGGTGAGCTCACCAGGGTCAGCACAGGGGTCAGCACAGGGGTCGGCATCAGTGTCAGCGTCAGACGATGAGGGCATGTGGAGCTGCACCTCCTCAGCGAGAATGCCCCTCCCCCCTCCCCTGCACTCTCCCACCACCGCTGCCCCTGCCGCTACTGCCGCTGCCGCTCTCGCTGCCGCTGCTGCCGCCGCCGCTGCTTCTCCTTCTACTGCTTCCGTTGTTGCCATTCCTGCCGCTGCCGGTGCTGCTGCCAGGGGCGCTCACAGTGTGTCCTCGCCCTCCACTGGCCCTACAAGTGTGTCGTCACCCCGCGCACACGCCAGCGCAGCCACCACTGCACAGCAGCACGTCCATGCGCTAGTAGGCACCATGGACGAGGCAACAAAACCACCGGTGCCTGCTGCCGCTGCTAGCGTTACCACTGCTCCCGTCACCACTGCTGCTACTGCTGCTGCTGCCATGGCTACGGCTACGGCTACTGCTACTGCTACTGCTACTGCTGCCGCTGCTGCTTCCACCCTGTCCCCTGCCACTGATTCTGCTGATTCTTCTACTGCTCCTGCTCTTGATGTTCCTTCACCTGCCGCTGCTGCTGCTACTGGTGCTCATTCGCCTTCTGTTGCGAGTGAAAAAATCCCCAATGATACTGCTCCTGCCGCTGCTGTTGCCTCTGCTCCTCCTGCTACCACCACCCCTTCCACCACCCCTCCAGATACCCTCTACACTCGCTCCCCATCCCCTCCCCTCCCCTCCACCTCCTCCTTCTCCCCTTCCCTCTCCGCCCGCCCCCCCTCCTTCTCCTCCTCTCCCTTCACGCACCCTCCCTTCCGCCCTCTCCCCCCTGACGCGCAGCTGCTGCAGCGCTCAATGATCCCTCACCCGCGCCGCAGCCCCCTGGGCATTCGCCGCACAGTCTCCGACCTCACGGCTGAGCTCAGCGCCCTAAGAACGGCCTCCGGTTCCACTGCTGCTGGTGCAGCCGCCGCCACAGCCGCCGCCGCCGCCGCTGCTGCTGCTGGCTCTGGTGCTGGTGGTGCCGGTGGTGCTGGTGGTGGGGGGGTGTTGTTTGGTCCTGGCAGTGGCAGCAGCAGCGGCGGTGCAGCAGGGAACGCGCGGCGGCGTGCGGCAGCAATCTCAGCGCTGAGAGCAGCGGCTCTGGAGGGGCAGCTGCAGTCCAACTACCCAGGGGTGCACGCGCGCCGCCTGTGGGGAGCGGGGGGGGGGGAAGGAGCAGCGGGAGGGGACGGTGGTGGCAGCTGGGGAGGGGGGAATGGGGGGATTGGCGGAATGGGTTTTAGGGGGATGGGTGGGAGAGGGGTGGGTGTGGGAGTGAGGGGGGGAGGGGTGGGAGGAGGATCTGGGGAGGATATGATGTCGGGTATGCCTGCAGTCACGTTTGGGCGGAGCAGCAGTGGGATGGGCAGCGCAGGGGGGGGAGGGGCGGGACTACTACCTGTAATGAACATGAACGTGGGCTTGGGCATGGGCATGGGTACAGCCATGGGCACAGGCATGGGCATGGGCATGGGCATGGGTATAACCAGAGTGGCCAGTCCAGGAGCAGTGTCCATACCATCCCCTGGCCTACCCGGTCCTTCCTGGCAGCTTCTCTCTTTCCCCGAGGACCCCGCCATAGGCTCGCGCCCCTCCTCCTCGTGCCACACGCTCACCCCGCAGTCTGCCTCGCACACGCCCTCTGCGTGCACCCCTGGCGTGGCGGATTTCTTCTGGGGATCGGGCAGCTTCAGGAGCGCCAGTGAGGGGCTGGGGCTTATCCACTGGGGCTCTGGCAGCAGCACCAGCAGAGGCGGGTGGACTGCAGGGGGCGGGAGCGGGGGAGGTGGAGGAGAAGGGGGCGGAGGGGGGAACGGGGCGGGGGAAGCAGCGGGGGGAGATCCGGGTTGGGGAGTGGAGGCGGGGGCGGGGGCATGGTCAGTCGCGGGGGCACCGGGGGGAGTGGGGGGAGCATAGGGCGGTTGGGGAGTGGGGGGGGTCGGAGCAGCGGCAGCGGCAGCGGGGGGTCAACAGGGTCAGGCTACCGGTTTGCGGTGGCGATACAGCGGGCTGTGGGGGACACGGATGACTATGAGGAGGGGCAGGTGTGCCCCCTGTCCCGCTCCAACAGTGCCAACCTGGAGGTGCTGCTGCACTCGCTGCACGGCCCCGCCTCCTCCTCCTGGGGCAGTGTGGACATGGAGGGGCCTGTGGAGGGGCAAGCGGGGAGGGGTGGGGCTGGTGCAGGGGGTGTGGGGGGAGCAGGAGCAGGGGTTGGGGGGAGTGAGGGAGTGGGAGAGGGGAAGGGGGATGGGGGGTTTGAGGGGGCGAGGGGGGAAGGGGATGCGGAGGAGGGGAGTGGAAGTGGAGTTGTGGGGAGGGCTGGGGGTGAGGCAGGGGGTGAAGTGGAGGGTGAAGAGAGGGAGGGCGAAGAGGGGAGTGCAGAGCAGCAGATTGGGCGCTTGAGTGGGGAGGGCATGGCAGAAGGGAGGGAAGAGAGGGAGGGGGGTAGGGAGACTCAGGCAGTGGGTTCTATTCCAGCCAATGCTGATGCTGTCTCTTCTGCTGCTGCTCCTTACGCTGCTAGCACATCTGTGGATAACCTTGGTGAGCTGGTGGGAGGAGGAGAGGAAGCTGGGGCCGATATTCCAGAGCAGGCACGGCAATCAACAACCACAGGCGCACAACCTAACTCCAGGAATCTACCAAACCTACCAGAGTCCGGGAGGCTTAGTGGGGAAAGCAGTCCGATTCACGCAGGTCCCGATGTTGTCCGAGCCTCTGGCTCAGGTTCGGAGTCCCTTGTCATCACTCCCGGAGCAGGAGATGATTTCCAAGACAGGCGCTCAACTGCTGCTGTCACCTCTGCTGCTGCTTTCACTGTTTCTGCTGCCTCTGCTGCCTCTGCCGCTTGTACGGTGGGTCCAGGCTCCACAGGCGAAGTCGAGCAAGTGCAGGCAGGAGGAGAGGACACAGGAGGAGGTGGAGGGGATGACAGAGGAGGCAGTGGAAGAGGGGCAGAAGGCAGGTCAGGGGCAAGCGACGGAGTGTCGCCACTTGCACCTGTCCAATCCGCGCCTCAAACGTCTTCCCAACCCATCGCCTTACCAACCCCCCACCCTAATTCCCAGCCCAATCTTCACCCCATCCCCCAGTCTGCTCCCCAGCCCGTGCGGCAGCCCGCCCCCCACTCCATCCTGCAGGCAGTGCCCCAGCCCCAGAGCCCTGCAGCCCACCAGCGGCCGCTGTCCCCTCTCAGGCACCACCAGCACCGCCTGCAGCCCTCACTGCTGGGCCGCCGCCCCGCCTCCCCCCACACTGCTCCTGCTTCCGTGGGGCTTGTCCCCCCTGCCCAGCATGGGTTGTCTGGCGCCCAGCTGCCGTCTGCTCCGGGGGCTTCGCCTCACGGTGCCTCTGCCTCCTCCCCCTCCTCCCCCCATCTCACCTCTCCTGCCTCTCCTGCGTCCCCTGCTTCTGCTGCTTCTCCTGCTTTTCCTGCGCCTGCCAGCTCGACTGCTGCTGCTGCCGCTGCTGCTGCCGCTGCTGCTGGCAGCAGCAATGGGTCGCCTGCTGTGGGATCCGCGGTAGCGAGCACAACAAAGTCACCAATCCATACCTGGATCTCTGCTGCAACCACCACCTCCCTTGCTAACGCCAACACCACTGCCGCTGCCACTAACAGCACCACCACCGTCACGGTCACCCCCATTACCGCCACCACCTCTTCCATTTCGTCCCCTGTGCCCGCTGCATCAAGCGCCGCTGCTGGCACCACTGCCACAGCGAACCCCAAGCCTGATGCCTCTGCAAGTGCAGCAGCAGGCACGAGTGCACCCATACTCGCCTCTGCTGCCGCGGGCTCACAGGCAGCCCCAGCAGCAGCGGCTGTAGACCTGGGGTTGAGTCTCGGGGGAGACATTGTCAAGGATGCCCGCCTCGCTGCAAGGATACTAGAGCAGCAGCAGCAGCAGCAGCAGCAGGGGGGGGGGTCAGTACAGGTTCGGGCATGGTCTGGTGATGTGGATGAGGCTGCTAGTGCTGCCGGGGGTTCCGCTTCTGGTGCTGCTGCTGGTGCTGCCACTGGTGCTGCTGCTGGTGCTGCTGCTGGTGCTGCCACTGGTGCTGCTGCTGGTTCTCTTGCTGGTCCTGCCAGTGCTGCTAGTGCTAGCAACGTGTCCGTTGGGGTGGTGAGCAACCCTCCCCTCCTGGTCCTCCGCACTGCCAGTGCTTCCGGGTTGGAGCGTGCACCATTGAAACCACCATCCGCGCTGAAGATTCGGGAAGGAGTGCACGCTTCTCCATCTGCCGGACCACCAACAGCAGCTCCTCCTTCAGTATCAGCACTGATGTTGAAACCAGCAGCACACGCAGTTTCATCCGCTTCTGCTTCGGCTGCTGCTGCTGCTGCTGCTGCTGCTGCTGCTGCAGCGAGTTCTGAAGGTGCAAATAGCGGCACTGCTGTGGGTGTGACTGTTGCAGCAGAATCGGTGGGTGGGGATGTGAGAGAACAAGGGATGAGCGTGCTGCCGCACCTGCAGGCAGCACAAGCAGCTGCAGACAGCCTCACTGCCCATAGACACACCAGCAGCCCTGGCACTACCACCCCTCCTCTTGCTTCTGCCTCTGCTGTAGCTGCTGCTGCTGCTGTTGCTGCTGCTGCTGGTAGTGCCAATACTGCTGGCAGTACTGCTGCTGCTGATTCTGGCAGTGGCAGTGGCGGTGCTGTGGTCGCAGGAAGCAGGGTGAAAGGGGAGGGCGGTGGAGGGGGGGGGTCAGGGGGCAGCATGAGCGGCAACAGCAGTCCAGGCTTCTCAGGGGTTTCAAGCTCAAGTGTAGGCCCTGCAGTACCTGGTGCTGCTGCTGTTGCTGGTGGTCCTGCTTCAGTAGGCAGTCCTGGTAGCACCACGGCACAGCATCGCTACTACCACCACCACTACCACCATCACCACCACCACCACCTGCATGTGTTCCCCTCTTTTTGGAAACGCAAGGAGCGGTACCTGGAAGCTGAGGGCTCAGCTGCAGCAGTAGCTTATAACGAGGCACCCAGTATAGGGTATGGACCTGCTTTGGATAGCAGCAACATGAACGTGAGCAGCAATGGCAGCCCGAGCACCGCTGCTGTAAGGATTGTGCACACCAGCATGGTTAGAACCCCCTCTGCTTCATCCGCCACCCCCAGCTGCGATAGTAGTGCAAGCAGTGTGAGGGGAAGGGGAGGCGTGGGAGGCGTGGGAGGTGTGTTGACACACACAAGATTAGGTGGCAGTGGCAGAAGAAGCGCTGGCACGGGTGGTGCTGGCACTCGGGGAGGCGGGGGTTTAGGGGGGGTTGGTGGAGGGGTTGTATCACCCTTTGCGTCCCCAGCTATGGAAGGTGCTAGCGATGCAGACACAGTCCACCCAGAAGATGCGGTGAGTTGTTTGTGTGGCTGAGCACTTAGTGCCTTCCACGCTGCCATCTTCCACGCTGCCATCTTCCAGGCTGCTATCTTCCACACTGCCTTTCACGGTGTTGTGCTGGCCTCTATCCCCGCAGCACTCACGCCTTGCCAGCCTGATCTTTACTCTCCTGCTCTCGACTGCTTGTGTGTTTCCCTTCGTGTGCCCGCCCTTGTTTTGCAGGATGTTCTGCTTGCGGCACGGAGAAGTGTGGGGCTGACATGCTGTGCCCGACCGCATGTTTTTGACTGATACGTAGGAGGTGGTGTGTATGGAGATGCCCAACCAGGTCAGTCTGCAACAACGCCAAATATGTTGCACCAAACGTTCTTCTTGCGGAATATTGAGATCGCTTAGAACTGACTGGAAACTGACTAGCGTGCGGCACTGTAATATATTAGGAGAAATGTGAGCGCCTTTTCTGGGACAGGAGGATACACCAGCATGCACAGATCTTTGATAGTGGTTTTATGTGTTGATAGCATCATCTTTCCGATGTGGATAGGGTATACCTTTGTGGGTGCGCTTTACTCCATCTAATTAATACTCCAAATTCCGATGTGCTTGTGTGGGAAGGTACATGGCACCTGTCGGAAGGTGGTTCGGTGTCGTGTGGTTTGCGCCGAGCAAACTGTTATGACGCGTCACATCTGCATATTCTGCTAAATCGCTTTGAAATTTCGAATCCGCGGACCATTTTTGGCAACGAACCAGCCAATTACGCCTAGTTTGAAGTAGTTATCCGGTAATTCAATGGCGTACAAGCTTGGGTCGGTCCTGGACAGCATGCAAACGGGCCCGATGTGGAGCGAATTTGGTAGGCTCGGAAAAAGCTGACACCTCGTCTTTGGTTGGTCAGGCTCAACCACAAGCCAAATCCAGCCAGGCACTGCCCAGCTCACCCCAACCGCACGGGCTAGGCGTGGAGCTCGTTCAACTGTGAGGTTCCCCAGCAGATGGCGCAGACACTTTCCCGCCTTGCCCCCACGCCTTTCCCGAATCTCCGTTCCCGATTCCCGATTCCCTGATTCCCGATCCCCCGATTTCCTGAACTCAATCGAGGCAGAAGGCGAAGCATGTCCGTCCACTTCCCGAGCTGGGAAAGAACCACCGCGTCGAGCCAGCAGGGCGTGTCGTTCACTCTCGCTGAAGGCTACTGTACAAAACTTCAACTACAGTGTTCCCTCGTGATGAAAATGCGAGATAGGAAAGGATACAATTGCAAATACCTTCTGTAATCGGTTTTGACAAGCCCCGAAGTCTTTCTGAAGGGTGTTGGTTCCATCTCCGGGAACATCCATCCCGCCCTCGTTCCATTCCCGCCAGCCTTCCCCGGTCCACCCGCCTCCCTCACACACTGCGTGCGCCTGACACCTGTGCTTCCAAGTCTGCGGGACTGGCGCTGACTCGGGACTCTCGAGGTGTACAGTATTGTACAGACCAGACTCGTCCTTGCTGGTGGTGGTCATGCTTTCATTCCTCCTTTCTCTCGTTCACACACGCCGTTCTGAGGCACAGTACTCGGAAGCATTACTGGATAACCTTCACCAACTTCTCATCCATCTGTCAATTCTACTGCTTCGCCTACGCGGCTCTACATTCCGCCGTAACGTCCTACAATGCTTAGACGGTCCCTCACGCCATGAATTTCCCCGTGCTGCTGCCTGAACTGGTAGTTCTGGTGCCTTGTCGGAAATCCCGAGTTAGCAGCTGCAGAAGGTGGGGTGTGCGGACATGCGGGTATAATTAATAGGCTGTAAGTTAATCGATTGCACATCGATCCCAGCGCGAATCTCGCTCGTGTTGGCCTCCAACGATGTTTCCTCGACCGGCTCTTCCCCTTCCATGCGAGAGTCCGCGTCCCGCTCTTTCGGGTTGAACCAGAAAGTCCATAACGGCAAGCAGCAGCAGCAGTGACGCTTTCGCCGTCCGCCTTAGTCCAGGAAGACGAATGTAGCAACGACCCGCCGCCGCTTGCATCCGCTCCCTACGCCCGCTGGACCTTCCCTTCCCCCCGGCTGTTTCTCCTAAATCCCTCTGCCTCCCACGCCGTAATAACTGGCATCGATTCCGGAATCTCGGGTGGCCGCGTCAGCGGCGACGTCACTCGGCGTGTCGTCCCCGCCACCCGCTCCGCTCGCGTCGTCCTCGCTCGACCGGCACCGGCGCCGGCAGCGGGCAGCGCTGCTCGACTGGGGGAGCAGCGTCGCGGGCGCGGCGACGAGCAGCAGCATGTCGCGGCCGATGGCTCTGGGGCTCGTGCTGCTCGTGCTCTTCCTCACGTCGCAGTCCGAGTGGAAGGCGTCGCGCACGCACATGGACGCCGCGACCTCCGCCGCCTCCAAGCAGATGCGCGTGGAGAAGCACAGGGACGGCATCAAGGAGAAGGTGCGAGAGCACGAGCACCGCTTGCTCTTCCCCGCCCATTCCTCTCGTTATATCCTGCCCCACGTCAACCCTCTTCTCCCACCCTTCCCTGCCCCCCCCACCCCCTCCTCCCCCCTCCCCCCTCCCCCCCTGACTTGAATCTCCATTTCCTTAATTCCGCGAACTGCTCCTCTGTGTGACTCGTCCGTTAGTCGTGCTTTCCCGGTGTTGCGTAGGAGCCCGCGCGACTCGCCGTTGCTTCGTTAAGATCGTCCCTACGCCTAGGGTTCCTGTCCACAGTTGCGTGTTTCTGTTAAGCCAAACGCTTTTGCTTTATTAAAGCACCATTTAATGTCTTGGTTCTAAGTGCATTCATGTCTCCATGCCATGCCATGCATGCTTGCGCGCGTGCCTCGGCACAGAGCCTGGTAAAGCTAATTATGCTACCCACCACGCGGCTACCCACCGTCAGATCATCATGGATCTAATGGCGGAGAACAAGCGTCTGGAGGCGGAGAGGGAGCAGCTTCGGCGCGTGCTGGAGGAGATGCAACGGCGCCTGGTGGCGTGCTGCCATGCCAATCCGCACCTCGACACCTTCGACTCCGCTCTCAGGCCGTCGTCTCGCCTCAGCCCCCAGCCTCTTGATGACCGCTTCCTCTCCTCCTCCTCCTCCTCCGCCTCCGCCTCCGCGTCCTCTTCCTCGTCTTCCTCTTTCTCCTCCTCTTCCTCCTCCGCCGCCTCCCTCTCCTCCCTCACCGGCGGGTCCTCCCAGTCCTTGATGTTCGGGCAGCCCGAAGTCGATTCCCCGGGCTTTCAGCGGCAGGCAGGCGCGCAGAGCAACGCTGGGCGGAACTATCAGCGGCAGCAGCTGCTCACCCGTAGGCACGTCGAGGAGGCGTTAGCGGGAGGTAGTGGCTTCGAGGTGGCTTCGCTGGAGCAAGGCCAGCAGCAGCAGCAGCAGCAGGAGTTGACACAGCAGCTGCAGTCGCAGGTTCAGCAGCAGCAGTTACAGCAGCAAGTGCAGCCGCATCAGACTCAGGTGCAGCAGCAGCAGCAGGCGGGTGGAGCCATGACCCAGGGAGGAGCAGCAGTGATCGGTCATATGACTCGCTTCCGAGGGTTCTCACAATCGGAAGCTCGCCGCGAGCATCAGCAGCGACAGCAGCTACTACTACGGGAACAGCAGCAGCAGTCGCAGCAGCAGCAACCGCAGCAACAGCTACTGTTTCCACTAATTGTGCAGGAGCAGAAGGTTGGGAAGCAGGTGCAACGGCAGGCATTTGATCACCAGCAGCAGCAGCTGCAGCAGCAGTTGCCACTGCAACAGGGGCAAGCGGAGTTCCTACCTCAGGAGCTTAAGAAGCAGCAGAACTCGTATGTGGGTAGCAGCAGCATGAGCAACAGCATTGGCAGCAGCACAGCAAGCGGCATTGCAAGCAGTGGGGAGAGCAGTGTGCGGAGCAGCATGCATGTGGTGCAGGAGAGCAGTGGGGTTGGTGAGGAGCTTGCAGGCATGGGTGCAGTGAGATATGAAGAGGAGTCTGGCGCTCGTCAAGGGGGCTTGGGTGCATGAGCACGGTGGGAGACAGTTGAGCTGTCTTGCAATGGCTGCTTGTGCCCACGGCCTTTTTGAGCATGTGGTGTGGGCGGGGGTGTGTGCTGGTGTGGTGGTCATGGTGCTCCCCACGTGCGCATGCCAGGGATGCGAGAGAATGAGAGAGAGACAGAGCGATATTGGTGACGTTGGGGAGGGCTGAGACACGGCTTGGAGGACTGGCAGGTATTACTGTCATGTTATCAAACCTAATCTTCTGCTCTAGTGGTCGTGGGTTTAGGTTGCCTTTCTGTGATGTGATGCGTTTTCAGCAGCTTTCAACAAGGCAGGCAGACTGCTGGTGCTAAACATTGCTTTTTACTGGTGTTGTTTGTCAAATTCTTTACCTCCATCAGGGTGGACTACATTTGGCTCGATATAGGGGCCAGTGTCAGCAAACAAATATCCATTTCTAGTTACTAGTTTAGATTTGCTTGTTATAACCTAGGTAGGTCAGCTCTTAGAGGGGACAAAACTTGTATCTCCTCTCCGCCCTCCCCTGCTCAACGAGTAGCTCGCGCCAGCCGTCATAAGCCAGCCAGCGCGAGCTCGCGCCAGCGCCAGCCGCCGCCCGTGCCAGATGCCAGCCGCGCCGCCGTCCGCGCCTCCTGGCCACCGCCCGCGCCTGCTCGCCGCTCACGCGCCTCGCCTGCTGGCTGCCGCCTGCTCGCTAGCCAGCGACTGCCAGCTCGCAGTCGCCAACTAGCTCACCGTCGGCTCGCTAGCCCACTACAGCCAGCTTGCCGCCCGCCCGCCAGCCAGCAGCCGCGCCGCTGCCGCCGCCAGCCGGCTCTTCGCTGGCTCGCCGCCGCCGCCCAGCATCCACCGGCTCGCCGCCCGCTAGCCAGCCAGCAGCCGCGCCGCCGCTGCCGTCAGCCAGCTCGCCGTTGGCTCACCGCCGCCGCCCAACAGCCGCCGACTAGTCGCTGCCGCCTCGTGCCACTGCAGCTACTGTTGCCCATCGCCGCCCATTGCCGCCCGCTGCCACCCGCTGCCACTGCAGTCGCCCCTGCCGCCGCTGCCACAGCAGCGGTCACTACCGCAGCTGCCGCTACTCCGGCCGCTGCTCTTACTGACGCTGGCTCTGCAGCCGCTGCTGCTGCTGCAGTCGCCACCGCCTTGACAGCCGCCATTGCCGCTGCTACTGCACCGGCTGCTAGATGCCAGGCGATCGGGTTCACCGTCTAGCAGGAGACGGTGCTCTTCTAGCTGACGAGCCGGCGCGTGGACAACGAGTCCCTGGAGGCTCACATTTATGGTGAGCTTACTGCTACCCCCCCGCCCTGGCACTCTCGCTCCTGATGCGACGTCAGCGCAGCAGGCTAAGCACGCTGTTGCCCGCACCGCCTATACTGCCTGGGTTTCCCCCAACGCCACTGCCTGTGTCGTCATCCCCATGCGTCTGCCAGTTGACGAGCACTCCCACTTTGTAGGTGCTGCGTTGGCCCGCGATCTCTAGACTGCCATTCTTGTTAGGTACTCCACCTGACTTGTGCCACTCTTGGTCACCTTCTCCTCCCCTACTTCTTCCCCAACCTGACCTCTTTCACCACAGTAGCAGACTTAGTCGAGGACATGCGTTCCCTCGAGGCCCGTTGGCGTGTGGCCTATACGGAGACCCAGTTGGTTGCAACCCCACCTCCCTTCTACGCCACTCTCTACTTCCTAGTCAACCCCATCCCTGACCGCCTTGCCCCTACCCGCGACACGCTCATTGCCCGCCACCCCTTTGAGCCCACTTGTGAGAGTACGACCCCGTTACACCAATTTCCCCTTTCCATATTTCCTTTCTATTTCATTCCTCTTTCACTCCTGATTCATTTGGTCTTTATCTCATCTCATTTGGTTTCCTATTCCTCCTTTTCCATTATCCTTTGGTTTATCCTGCTATTATCATTATATCACCGACCAGGCTCGGGATGTACTGGCGCGCTATATCTAGCGTAATCCTGCCGTAATCCCTTAAAGCCAATAGCCTCGCGTGGCTATACGCAGGGAGATTCTATTTCTAGAAGGGTCTATCCCTTTGGATAGGATAAACCTGGTTACCTGATGTACTCTGGACGTATAAAAGCACCTTGGACTGATTGATAGTGCAACATTGAGCAAACCTCATTCGATCCTGTGACACTTGGTAATCAGAGCCAAGGTTTCAGCTCAACGCTTAACCGCTGGGCCCCCAGGAGCACGCCGAGGATGGAGTCGAAACTTCTTTTCCTGTAAGTACAATGCACTTTCATTTAAGTTTCGACTAGCCTCGCGCAGTTGCACCGGGGGTCCCCATGGAAGGCGAGATGCATCGCCAACCATTCGATGGACTGCATCGACGGAGCCGATTTTTTCGCGGGGGCAAACGGCCTCGACCTCGCGAGCGCGTCAGTTCTGGCGGAACACTCCCTGCGACATTCCGAGGAGTACGCAGTTCGCCACGACACTTGGAGTTGCACGGAAATCTGCGGAGCTGCGACCGACGACATCCGTCCGATGGAGATTCGACGCTTCAGATCGACCGAGGCGACAACGAAACCTTCTGAGCGAGTTCGAGTTCCAGCGCGAATGGGAGCGGGACCTCGCAAGCCGCAAAGCTCTTCGAAGCGTCCGATCGTTCGACAGCCGAAATCGACGACCGAGAATTGCTGCAGGAAACGAGTCCACCCTGGCACCGAAAGCTGCTGAACGTGACTCAGGAATGTCTTCAGATCACTTGGATTTTGGACCGTCGGATCAACTTCTACTTCAACGGACGAGATGGAGCACGACTTCTGCACAAAGGGAGAATGACGCGCAGAACCAGAAATCAGCCGCCTTCGACACCGTTGACATCATCTGGACAACCAAATTCTAATTCCTTCATTTGGTGACAAATTTGGCGCTCAAATCATCTGCAAAGTCATAAATCTGCCAAAGTATTACCTACTTGGTAATATGCAAGCAGAAAACTGACAGGAGAACGTGGATCGTTTGATCGATGCGGAATCAACGCCACGAATGCAGCGGAGACCACTCTATGAGAAATCATCATCATGGTGACAACATTCGTGACCAGCGACTGCACAATCGACGCATCTTCTTACTAGGGTCGACAACGATCGATTTATTTTGACAAAGTCATCTTCGTTAAAAATGGATCGACATCAACACAGCGGATCTTCACCCAGGAAAAAAAATGGAGTTGCGTGAAGACATGTTCTCCATCCACGAGGCACCTCTTCATACAGATTGATCGACAAGCTATGGGATTGCAGAGAAGTAGCCGTTTTCTCTTGCAATGCTCCCAAGTTCAAGTTGTTGCGAAGGAGCAGATTTCGCACGCACCGACGACGCAGTGAACCCGTCTCGTCAAGGCCAGCGAGACACTACTTCGTAACAGGAGCTGAACGATTCGTCTTCATCAAGCATATCAGCCATCCGAAGTGATAGATTGAAGCAGTCTCAACATCGATCTCACAAGGCGACACACCAATCATGCGTCGCGATTCCAGGTGTTAATGACCTGCGTGGAATTTTTTCCGTGCATGTCACGATGCTTGATAGATTGAGGAGTAATTTACCTCAAATCCGGCAAGCACTCGTTCACTAGCGACCCTACGGCACATGCGTTGGAAGCGATTCTACCAGAAACTGAAGCGTTACAAGCACCAGCGTAACTTCGACGATGCAGGAGAACGCCAAGCAACATGAGCTGTCAGCACGTGATGGAGATGCAGACTACTACAACACGATCACGCGCTCTACCGACCGTACATCGGAGGCACGGATGAGCATAACAGGAATTGCTACCCGTGGATACATTGAGGGGAGAAGCAAATTTCTCTTCACACCCTCAAATGAAACCATCACCGGCAGCAATGGAGCAACCCATGCTTACGAGTATGCACGTGTTCCTGGTAGTTACGCCTGTTACACCCATCAGGAAAACTTTGTTGGGATGAGGGAGTTGATGGATTCTCCTTCAACCATTACGAGTTAAGAGAATTCTCTGCAGCAGCTACCGCCGTCGCCATCGTCGCAACCGCCGCCGCCGCCGCAGCAGAAGACTCGACAAAACAGTCATATCCAAACCTTGATCGATAATTCTTCGCTCAATGGACATAACGCTGGATTATATTCCAGTATAATCGTAAAGATCCGGCCAGGCACAATACTATGATTTCCAGCTAGTGGGAAGGAGATACCATTATGCGAGGAAACAACATGGCAATGCCATATACCCTCAAGAGCAGGAGATATTTGTTCTGATGAGGATGGGAGGACAACGGTACTCTACCGGTATACAAGTCCTCATGGCCTATGGCTTTCCTTAAAGTCATAATGCCTGCGTCGCAACCAATCCATTACCAGCACCAACTCCACGGAAGTAGATAGGCGTGAAATGGAGCGCCGACGCCACTCCGGATAGTGGACTCCGCGTATCTCTAACAACACCCCTATTTGCCGAAATGGAGCAGACTTCAACATTGATGCTGAGTAGCTGAGACATCTTCGACATCAACGCTACTTCAAGGACAGTGACAGAATAAGACAACACATGATGGCACCAGAAGACCTATCCCAATATGTGCGCCCAGACACCGATGCCTACCGATGGCCTCCGTGCTAAACTGGACGTGCATAAGGTCATACTGGATTGGCTGTCAGCAATGCTAATTTGGAAATGGGAGTGGATTATTTGGGAATACCCCTAATATTCCCAATTGTCCTAACCCATCACCGTGGGATATCTACGCAGCTGAGATTCCTTGCTTGAGCAACCACCGAGGGAAACTACTTTGGCGCCGATTCTGGAAGTTACCAGCTCCGCGTTTGTGGTACCAACCATATGGTTCTGAAAACAAGGGATACGCTGAGCAGCACTACGATGCCGAGTGGTTACGACTCGCGACAACACCATGGCATGGACCAGCATTCGACAGAAGTTGCATGTATCTGATACAACGCTGCTACAGAAGTAGGACTATGACACGACTGCAACACCACCAACACTTAGTCGACTTCATACGTGGACGGGATGCGAGTAACACCAGGATGTGCTACCCGAGACTCAACGCATGCTACAGTGTGCCAGCTAGAGCACCCACCGAAGGGACAGTACATCTACTCTTCCGCTATAACATCTCGATCACGATCAACGCCATCCACGTACCACCTACAGACGCAACCCGCTCACACCACAACACCCGACAAACCCATTTCATCTCCGTTGTCCATCAGCTCTAACACCGGACACTCCACTTGGACATCCAACAGCAGCAAAAGCACCTGGCTACTCATCACCACAGTTATCCACACCATAATCTTGACATCAGCCATCTTCCATCCAAGCTTCAACCTTGCTTTTGCAGGTCTATCCTTATTGAAGCAAAGGTCACTCCTGTTACCTTCCGCTTCCGCCAACCAGCCACTTGAAAGATCCATAACGCCTTCCATACCAGCATCTTAAACCCCAATGAAGACCAAACACACTCTATACCGAATGCCAACCACCGTCGTCGCCCGTGTTCATCCACGACATAGGACAACTACGTGCTTGGACACCGTCGTCGACGGAATGGCAACGTGGAGCTTCTCATCCGTTGGAAGGGTTATGATCCTTCAGAGAATAGCTGGGTCTCTGAATCCGACATGGGTAACGCCTGTCGTCCTCTTCGCGACTACCTTGTCAAGTTAGGTGTTACTTTTACCACCCAGCTTTGAGGGGGGGAAGTGTGAGAGTACGACCCCGTTACACCAATTTCCCCTTTCCATATTTCCTTTCTATTTCATTCCTCTTTCACTCCTGATTTATTTGGTCTTTATCTTATCCCATTTGGTTTCCTATTCCTTCTTTTCCATTATCATTTGGTTTATCATGTTATTATGATTATATCACCGACCAGGCTCGGGATGTACTGGCGCGCTGTATCTAGCGTAATCCTGCCGTAATCCCTTAAAGCCAATAGCTTTGCGTGGCTATACACAGGGAGATTCTATTTCTAGAAGGGTCTATTCTCTTTGGATAGGATAAACCTGGTTACCTGGTGTACCCTGGACGTATAAAAGCACCTTGTACTGATTATATAGTGCAACATTGAGCAAACCTCATTCGATCCTGTGACACCACTCTTGACCTCATCTCTAGCTCTCTGACTGAGATAGAGGACCGCATCCACGCCATCCCTCGCTCCACTAGTGCGACCGTCAGTCCCTATCTTTGAGGGTAGCGCTCCCTCTCAGGTGACTGTCTCTACTGCCTCCGCCTCCGCCGCACGGCAGCCACGGCGTCCGGCCGCTCTTCTGGGCGATGCTGTGGCAAGGGGCGTGGCCCCTCTGCAGCAGCGGGTGGTGGGGATGGCGAGGCGACTGGAGAGGGTGGTCATACGAAGTCAGGGACTGAGCAGCAACAGCAACAGTAGCAACCTCAGCAGCAGCCGCAACCGCAGCAGCAGAGGTCGCAGCAGCAGCAGCAACTGAACTGGAGGCTGGCAGGCCCTGGGAGTGGTGGTCAGGGTGGAGGTCGTGGAGGTTGGGGCCTAGGGCAGTTTGTACCCTGGGGGTCGCGTGGCTCTTCTGAAGGCCAGGGTGATGGCAGTTTAACCTGCACATACCAGGTGCTGACTGCCCCCCAGATGGGCCACACTGCCGCCCGTTGCTTCCGCCGTATGGATGACCAACACCGCCGCCAATACGGCCTCTTGGTGCAGGTACCTCCCTGGCCTGCTTTGCTTCGTTGCGGCATTCCGTTTTCGGTATGATTCAGATGGAGCATGCGACGTATGCTGTGTATCCTGATGAGTCGAGTGCAACTGGTTCCTAATATCCTGTTGTTTGTAATATACAGTAGGATCCACTGCTGTGTGTAGTCTAGGATCCCCTGCTGCGTTATGCGTAGATTTCCCTGTTGTGTCAGGCAATAACTCTCCTAGTGATCCCTCATTAGGCCCCGCCACGTTGGCCCTTTCCTTTACACTAGACTCTGGCGCGTTCCTCTGATTCTTTAGAGACAGCAACGCACTCACTGCGCTTCCTGCACCTGTCCGCGTCGTAGTAGCAGACTCCCCTACAACAGTCGTCGCACATAGCACCACCGCTCTCCCCTGTCCAGCTGTCCTCTATGGCTCCCTCACAGTCCTGCACATTCCCTCGTTCGCCATGAATTAAGTGGGTGTAGGTCACATTCAGGACCTAGGAGTCACCACTACGTTCCCTAGCCATAAGAGACACGCCGCCTGTACAGACACAACCACTAGTAGACATCTAGCCAATTTTGAGCGTAACCCAGTGTCCAGACTCGTCACCCTGCACAATGAGTCCCCGCTAGGTGCTGCATCTTCTTTGGTAGCCCCGTCTTGTTCCTGTCGCTCCCCCTCCTACCCGACCCTTTTGTGGCACCACCAATTAGGTCACCCTGTACTCCCACGTCTCAGGCACATGTCCCATCACGGTCTAGTAACTAGTCTTTCTGAATCGCTCCCAGCCCTGCCTGCATCGGAAGTGCCCCTATGCACCTCCTTCGTTGAGGGATGGCAGCGCGCCGCCCCTCACTCCTCCTCGTTTCCTCCTACCACTGCGCCATTACAGATACTGCACATGGACATCTAGGGCCCTGCCCCAGTCCATGGTCTTAGTTGGAGCGCAACCAACTCGTCGTCGTTGACGACTTCTCGCGTTTCACCACGGTGTTCCCGCTGGAGCGGAAGGCCGACGTACCTGACGCTCTTTTTCCGTGGTTGCTCGCCGCTCGCACCCGACGTCGTCTGCCTGTAGTTTGCTTTCACTCTGACTGTGGTGGCGAGTTTGCCTCTAGCCGTCAAGGACAATTTTGCCGTGCGGAGGGCATCAACCAGACCTACACACTATCGGACAATTTTGCTGTGTGCTACGCAGCTCACCATCTTAACCTGTGGCCGCGCTCCCTATGGCCACAGGTTTTGCCAACCCTTCTCTAAACACGGTCCCCTGGTGGTGCCTCTACGTTCCACATTTGAGGCAGCCTCGCTCACGTCTGCGTTACTAGCGCAAACAAGCTCTCAAATCGCACCATTCCATGTGTCTTCCTCGGGTCTCTTCTTGACGCCCGTAACTGGCTGTTTTATCACCTGGTGCATAACCGCTTCTATCGCTCTCGTGATATTACCTTCGACGAGACACTCCCCTACTACCAGCGATTCCCTCCCCGTAGCTTTCCTGTCCCTCCTACTCTCTTCCTCGCTCCTTCCCCGCCTGCTACACCACTCCCGCCCCGCCTGGCCCCGTTTGATGTCTCTCACACCACTCTCTTCCCCTCTGATGGACCCGTGGGGGAGTCTGCTGACTCTGGGGGCCCATCTGTTGGGGGTGCGCCTTCTTTCCGTGCGGCGCCTCCCCCAGCCCAGGTATCCAAGGCACCTCAGCAGCCTCACCCCTCGCCTCAGTAGTAGGTACAGCTGCCACAGCAGACTCAACTGCTGCACCAGCACCGACAGCAGGCGGCAGTGGGCTCTAGGGGTGCTGGTTGTGGGGATGCTGGTTCAGGGGGTGCTTACTCTGGGGGTGCTGGTCTTGTGGGTGGTGCGTCCGGGGGTGCTGTTTCGAAGAGTGCCACTTGCAGCCGAGGTGGAGCTGGAGGTCTTGGCAAGAACAGGGAGCAGCCGCAACCGCAGTAGTTGCAGCAGCCGCAACAGCAATAGCAGCCACAGTAGCAGTAGCAGTCGCAGTCTGCCCTTCGTCTCCTTGGTCTTTCCTCAGGTTCCCCTGACCGACCACCCCTCAATCCTCCTATGCCCGACCCTATTTACGGCCCACTGTTCCCTCCCCCGTACTCCTCTCCAGCTTGTTTTCCCCCGCGCTCTCCTCAGTCCCCTGTCTTGTCCCCCTTCCCCCCTTTAGAGGGCATGGGCCCATTGTCCCCTTGATGCTCGTCCTGTCTCTCCTTGTCCTAGTGTCCTACTATTGTTCTTGTCCTCCTCCAATCCAGTCCTTCCGTTACCTCCGTCTTTGTCGCTCTCTCGTCCTCTGCTCCTTCCACTGACTGTGCTCGCACTGCTCGTCCAGTCCTCTCGTGCTTGCTTGCGTCGCTTGTCACTGACCCTAGTGCTCCTCTTGAGTATGTCTCTGCGCTTGTCGCTGCTGTCGCTGACTTTCGCAAGGGTTGTCTTCGTCCATGTGCATGTTGATGAAGCAGTAAGGCAGTGGCCCAGGTGTCACAGAGGGGTCCGAAATATTCTGTTCGTCCAGGTCAGCTTCTTCTGCTGATGAGGTGAACCTGCATGTGCCAACGAAGCCACTCGTTGGGTCAGTGTTGTTTGCGATGTTGTCGAGGTAATGATTCATCGTGAGGCTCTCGTAGAAGTACACGTCACCTGTTTCTTCTATTTCCTTGTCTTCTTTGTTGAAGATTTTTCAGGCATTGTAATGTTTCTCAATGCCGACATGTAGACCCCATCCTGTCCTTTGTGAAAGCCTTCCGGTGCGTGCACTGTGGGGTCGGTACTGTACCACGCAGCCAAAAACCCGTAAAAGTTTTGTGCTGTCCGGCTTCCTTGTCCACAGCAAATGCGGTGATGCATTGTTCGGCACGGAGCTACAGTAGTCGACAAGAGATTCTGCAGCATTGGAGCATGGTTCATCGCCTCTGGCCACTATGAGCCGGACAGACGCATGCCACGTAGTATTTTTCGCATGATGTTTTGCAACGTCATGTTCATCCTTTTTGCTAAGCCGTTTTGTTGATGAGCATATGGGAGGGTGACGAGTCTCCTGATTCCCCTCTCCGATAGGTAGTCCTTGAAGCGTTGTGACTGGTATTCCATTGGCTCGTCTGATTGAAAGGCTTTCAGTTTGGTGTCGCTCTCTCGTTCTCTCTCTCTCTCTCTCTCTCTCTCTCTCTCTCTCTCTCTCTCTCTCTCTCTCTCTCTCTCTCTCTCTCTCTCTCTCTCTCTTGTCTCTCTCTCTCTCTCTCTCTCTCTCTCTCTCTCTCTCTCTCTCTCTCTCTCTCTCTCTCTATCTCTCTCTCTCTCTCTCTCTCTCTCTCTCTCTCTCTCTCTCTCTCTCTCTCTCTCTCTCTCTCTCTCTCTCTCTCTCTGATGTAGCAAGCCACGCGATGAACATTGCGAAGGCATGACCTCGTTACGGTATATTCAGATGCCAGGTGTACCAAATCGCTGCGTCGACAGAAATTATGACGAAGTTCAGGTCTGCTCTGCCGACTTCACGAATAATATACAGAATATCGTTGTATACTCTTTCGAGTGGAGAGTAAGCCGTCGCGCTCGATTTGTGGTGTGATGGGAATGGTCGGCGTGGTAAGTCGGCTTCCGGGTAGAGGAAGCAGGTACGCCGCGGCTTGCGTAGCTCTCTTCTGTCGAGAAGTAGAAAGGCATTTTTGTTGAGCACGCCCGCTCTTATGGTGTCGAATAATCTTGAGTTGCCTGGGTGTCCTAACATTTGATGCCATATTTCTTCCCTTGCCTTGTGCTCGACAGATCTCAGAAAGAAATCGGCGTTGGCGTAGAAGGCGGAGAACATCGCCGCGCTCCAATGGTGTTCGCGGGTGTGCACTTTCAACTGCTCTGCTTCTGATGGAGGTGGTTCTTCGACTGGGGCTTCTTCGGCTGGTGGTGCGGACGAAGTGCCAGCGACAAGGTGTTCAAGTGTTTCTTGTATCGGCGCCTTTGTTTCTCCGGTTCCCCTTGGTGCTTCTTCTTCACTTGTTTCTTTTGCTTCTCTCGTTATGCCCTTGTGATTTTCGCTTCAGTTATCCTGTTGGATTACCAGAATCCATCTCTGTCGAAGTCGGGATGGAAGTCCGGCGGGTGTGTCCAAGTGGTGAAGGAGATGACGCGTCACTATCTATAGTGCCGCGATCTGAGACGAAGTCCAAAATTAAGACGCTAGACTTTTGGATCACCTTCCCGATGTAGAGACTGCCCTTCCTGTGGTAGAGCCGAAATTCACGGTCGTCGCTGTTGCACTTCAAGTGAATACATTTCGACATCAACTGGCTAACACTGAGTAAGTTGTAGCCTAGATTATCGACGACTAGTACGCGTGACATTTGTAGTACCAGGCTCGTTTCGAGTGACTTAAGTTGAAGGACGTCTTGTCTCCTTGTGCACATGTTCTGGTTGTTGGCAACGGTGATCACCACTTCACTATTTAAGGTATTTTCTCGATGGACGAAGCTCGCCGAAGAACACATGCGATGTCCGCAACAGCTGTCCAAGAACCAAGTATCTTGTCTGGACAATTCTTCGCGTGCGATGGCTGCGTATGTCGGGTTCGGTTGGAGAGAGGTGAGATTAGGTGCGGGTGACCTTTTGTCGATGTCATGATTAGGAGGTGAGTCGGGTATGCAGGTTTCCATTCGCGCCATGCAACTGATGACGTTTCGTGTTCCTTGCGCATGTCGTGGCGTCGATGCTGGTGGACGTTGCTGTGTTGATGCGGCCTGACTGTTGGATGGGCGAACCGGTCGAGGCTGATATTGTTGCTGCCGCTGCTGCCTGGGACAGTTGAAGCACGAGTGTCCCAAAGACTGGCAGAGATGACAGTATGGCGGTGAGTGTTGTTTCTAGTTGTGCCGGCGCCCGTGTGTGTAGAATGTGATATGTTGACGTGGTTTCTTTGCATGCCGTTCTTCGTGCAGGTGCATATCCTGCTGCTCGGCGTTGAGTTCCACGCAGAGATGCATCTCGAAGATCCTCTCGTGGGCCCGTAAGAGGGAGCACGTCGTACGCCACCGAGGATGACCGTAAGGAACGAGTCTTCCGTAAGTGTCTGTCGCGTTGTCCTCTGCATCGATTCATATACGCCATTGTCTTCTCCCCTGGTTGCATTTGGATTGTTCTCATCTGCACTATGAGCCGGCTCTAAGTCACATTATCTGATGCTTGATAGACAATATTCAGGCAACAGTTGGCGAGTTCGGCTGAATCGCCATAAGTCCTATAAGTTCAGATGCTCTGCTACTCTGTCGGGTTCAAGTTTCGAAGAAGTGTGGTGAATGCCATTAACAACTGGTATGTGTATATCTTCTTTTCTTCGATAGTCCCGTTTGCCGGAAAAGACCAACAGTTGCTGGTGAAAAAGCCGAGGATCTGTGCGCTGTCCATCAGCAACTCAAACTCCAAAATCCAGATATATATGTCCTTTCCATTGAATGGGAAGGATGTCTGGCTTCAGGATGTTGTTGAACTGGTGCCACATGTTGAGAATTTCCGATTGCTTGTCACTTGGTTCCGAGTCCGCTGATGGCGTTGGAGTTGGCAGGAAGGTAAATGAGCCAGGTAAAGATTGATACGGCTGGTGTTGTGTAGGTTGTTGATTGCCTCTTCCGTCCGATAAGTTGTCGAGGCTCATTGGTGCTACGCTACTGATGTTGTTGCTGTGTGTTGACTAAGCAGGTGCTGAGGATTGCTCGTAGTGCGACATAAAGGAGAAGAACTTCTCAGCAAGGCCTGGGTCAATGCCCGAGGAGGAGGCCACTGGGAGCGTGGTTGCTCCTGCAGTTGCGCCTTGAGTTGTGCCTTGAACTGCACCTTCAATCTGTAGTTCAGAGAGTGGAGGAGCAGATACCTCATTACCTGGAGATCCATTAGAGGATCCTCCGCCTTTTGATTGTGCCATGTTCTTGCTTCGAAAGTTGTCCAAGTTAGAAACTCAACTGAGGGAGTTCGTGACAGGAACGTAGTCTCTGATGAGCTCTCATACCATGTTGGGCTGAGAATAGCCCTAGGATCTTTGCAGATACCAAGTCCCTGAGTGGAAAGAGTGCTTGATAGCACAGCGGAAGTCTAATTTGAACCCTTGTAGTATGCGAGAACAAGGGATTGATTATAGCAAAGGGATACAAGGTTTGTATAATAATACATGTGAATATGAAAGGTCTATCTAACTATGCATTTCGAGGGGTACACCCCCTTTATGACTCGATAAGCACAACTTGGGTAACCACCTGTAATGTAATACCGGAACGGTTATGTGTTCTTGCTGTCGCGCTGACTTCGACGCTTGTAATTCTGACTACCGAATTGCAGGGTCAACGGTCAGCGACCGTTGCCTTTCGCGACCTCCGTTGGGTGTCGTCAACCTGCAATCGCAGTTTCTTTGCTCTCGTCACATCGAACAGATTGAGTGATGCTCCACCATGCACGAATATTTTCAGACTTGTCTTGCCAATGTGCCCTTCCACTAGCACAGGGCAGTCAACAAGTTCACTCCCCTTTAAAGCGCGTGGCCCAAGTAAGACCAAGACTCAAAGACCTTTTATCCCTCGCCAACCCAACCCATGCCAACAGGGTTACTCCATAATCGGTCGATTGGTTGAAAACCAAAAACGACGGGTGCGGATTGGCCACCCAAAAGCCCACCAACGCGTGCGATGTCGCACAACAAAGTGCCTCCACTGGGTCACACCCCAAAGAGAATCACGATACAGAGCATGTGTGTTCTTGGGACTGAAGTCTATGGCGGCAGCGACAAGGTAGGAAAGGTTCCCCAGCACTTCAGACCGTGCGCTCTAGGAATCACTTAGGCAAGCCATAACTCACTCTCTCGTCGATTCTCCCCTCTCCCGTCGCGCCGATTCTCAGTCTCGCATCGCCTCACTCTCTTCCGAAAGCGCGCTCTCCCGCCCTTTGCTCTACTCTTCCCATGGCGATACTTTCTCTTCCGTCGCGCTCCTCCTCCTCGTCGAGCTTCTCCATCCCTCTCACCGAGCTTCTCCCTCCCTCTCGTCGAGCTTCTCCCTCCCTCTCGTCGAGCTTCTCCCTCCCTCTCGTCGAGCTTCTCCCTCCCTCTCGTCGAGCTTCTCCCTCCCCCTCGGTGCGCTTCTCCCTCCCCCTCGTCGCGCTTGTCTTTTCCCCTCGTCGTGAAGCAAATGGATAGGCGATGGCTAGGCGAGAGATACGCTGGGGGGAAAGGCATGGATCGCTCACGAAGAAAACAAGGATATGCACGCAGAGAGCTAGGGACACACGAGGGGAAACGGCAAGCAATAGGTCCAGGGAATGCAAGGGATGGCTGCGGGATCGTTAGGCGCAGGGATATGATGAGGGACAAGCGCAGGGAGGGATAGGCATGGTTGGGAGCAAGGGATGGCAAGCAGAGCATAAGCAGGGGGGACGTACATGCCAAGGTAGGGGGAAACACGGGGGACAGGCGATGGCAATGCAGGTACGGAAATCGTTGAGGAATACAAGGGCCAGGCGGGCGAAAACAGGGGATATGTTCGGGGAGGGCAAGGAGTACGAGGCGAGGGAATGCAAGGGCCAGGCGTGGGGGAAGCACGGGATATGCGCGGGGGAAGCAAGGGGTTTGGGCGGGGGAAGCAAGAGGTATGCGCGGGGGAAGCAAGGGATATGCACGGGGGAAGCAAGCGGTATGCGCGGGGGAAGCAAGAGATATGCACGGGGGAAGCAAGCGGTATGCGTGGGGGAAGCAAGGGATATGCACGGGGGAAGCAAGAGGTATGCGCGGGGGAAGCAAGGGATATGCACGGGGGAAGCAAGCGGTATGCGTGGGGGAAGCAAGAGATATGCACGGGGGAAGCAAGCGGTATGCGCGGGGGAAGCAAGGGATATGCACGGGGGAAGCAAGCGGTATGCGTGGGGGAAGCAAGGGATATGCACGGGGGAAGCAAGAGGTATGCGCGGGGGAAGCAAGGGATATGCACGGGGGAAGCAAGCGGTATGCGCGGGGGGAAGCAAGGGATATGCACGGGGGAAGCAAGCGGTATGCGCGGGGGAAGCAAGGGATATGCTGCTGGACATTGAGGGAATAACGAGCCATCTCTCCGTATCGCGCTCTACCCTTCTCCGTTTCCCCCTCTCCTGCTGTCTGTTACCCCATCCCCACCTCCCCGTATCCCACTCTCCTCCTCTCTGCTCCCTCCCTCTCCTCCCCTCCATATCACGCTCTCCTTGTCTATGTTTCCCCCTCTCTTCCTCTCCATTTCCCACACTGCCCACACCCGTGTTCCCCTCCTCCTCTCTGTCATACCCTCATTTCCCCCTCTCATCCCCCTCAATTCCCCACCTCTTTCCCCTCAGCCCTCTCATTCCCCTCAGTTCCCCTCACTCATTCCCCTCAGTTTCCACCTCTTCCTCCTCTGATCCCCCTCTCATTCCTCTCA